AATTGCTCGAAGTCATTTGCAAATTGATTTCATGAAGAAATATGCTCGTCAGTTTTTTTTAGCGTCTTTAGATGAATACAGTACCCATTTAAAGCTCTTATTCCGTTTGATTAGACCTGCGAAAACACATTGGACCACCTTGATGAAGATGAATCAAAAAGGTACAGCTCTTGTACAATATGTATCCTACAATATTTCAATTATTTTCAATCGCAATAAATTAGACGGACAAACTGCCATGATAATGGATGAACCAATGCCAACAACTATCAAGTTTAGTTCAGGTCTCCTTACAAAAAATGGGCCTTATTCATCAACAAGATGCTTTAATGGACGGAAGCCATCCTTCCTTAAGCAATGAGAAAAATCTGAATCTCGATTTTCTCATTTTATGGATCATGGTCCGCTTAATTTTCTTGATGGCGAGTTAATCTCAGTTAAATCATGAGTATCATTACAGCAGGGTTTGCTAATTATGTGCGAGATAAAGTAAACTTTTAATGGAAGAAAGATCACCTTAGAAACACACGCATGCAGTACGGAATGCTTTCCCTGCTTGAACTTGAAATGAAATGCAACCCGAGAACCGATCAAGGGTGTTCCCACTCATGGACAGATGTACTTGGCCACAACTCCCTTTTAGGGTTGAAGATTCCCCGGGATGTTCCCAAGAAAATCCATCATCCCTGACAGAGTGTTGCATTAATAAGAAGTCGCCGGACAAGCCGGCCACGCCAGCGATCGCGAAGCTAATAGCCTGACTCAGCCAAGACAGAGCAACACCTCTGGCGAGGAAATGATATATGTCCAGTTCCCACAAGGCCGTCGGATTCAGCAGAGTCCGAGTTGTAGGCGGACTGCGTCGAGCATCAGCCAGTGGCAAGGCGCAAGAAAAGCAATCGTGGGACAAGCCCCGGCCCACAGCGAGCATCGAGATCCGCCAATTATCACCGGAACCGCGGCTCTCAAGGTCGGGGTCATAATCCCATCATCCACGGTGTACCAATCATCGCCTTTATTAAACACGTCAATGTGGGAATAACAATAGGAAGAAAGCACTGACAAGTCTCGGCCCAAAACAATACGCCTCGTGACTCAGCCGAAGACGAGAATAGAGAGACGTTCCCACGGCGCGAAGCGAAAGCGGCCGGATTGAGAAACTTCGGAGGGGGGACATTGATGACAAGGCTTTTTCGTTTCCTATCATTACATCTGCGACCAGATTTGCTCCGGCTTCGGTAGCAATTTGGTGAACCAAGATATGATATCGCGAAGCAAACTGTATGAAAGACACCCTCTGCTTTTCCTCGAAGGAATGCACGACGAATTAAAATCTGCGATTCGTTTCGCCTTCCGGCTAGACGCATGAATGAAATACAAAAATTCGGACAGAAATATGCCCTCAACTACTTTATCCACTGTGTGCTCGTCTCGCTTAAAGCTCTAGGTTTTTTTTATAAGCTTGGGATAAAAAATAAACACGAATGCTCTCATTATCAAACGAAAATGTCAAGAGAAACCGCCGGGGGAGACGGAAGAGCAGATAAAGGGGAGGTCAAAACGCCCAGGAGAGGAAATGGCGGCGAGTGCAATACAAGGAAAGAAAATGCGGAATGGGTAGAGAAAGAAATCACGCCAAAAAGAGTCAAAATTGTTGAAGAAGGAGCGGAGTTCGAGATCAGGATGTGAAACCCAAAAATTCTACAAGCAAAATTGTTTCCTGAAAAATCCATTGAAAGCATGCAATAATTGAAAACCAACCCACATACGACTTGAATGATCAAATAAAAAATGCAACACAAATTATGCAGAAAAAAAATCCCACGACAGTAATTATACAAAACCCTATTACAAAGCGGAGTGAACCACACATAATACAGTACATGACGTTTTAAGGAGTGGAAACTCTATCCCGGCATTTTCTCTCGGAATTCCTTCCCAGCGCAGGCCTTTTATTGTCTCTCTCCACCCCGGCATTCCCTCGCCGCATCGAAAGAAAGCACATCACAGTTCCGCAGTGGTTTATGAGTCAGGGCGGATAATGATTTAAACCGTAAGCATGAGTAATGTTTTGATTCAAACTGACAACAAATCGAGGAATGAAAGCCATTACATCGCAGGCGGCGAATCATACGTGAAGCAGAACTAAGATGCGACTGCTGGCGTTTCCTGTAAGTATAATTATGATCGAACTTCGGAGGACAGAATAAAAAAGATTCGCAAATATCGCAAGTTCCTTTGCCAACAGGTTCGGGTCATCGATAGATAAGCGAGAGCCAGATGCGTTTCATCATCCCCAGGAGCCCGAAAGCAAATTAGGCAACAAAAACAAAATAAAAACGCTCCCAGGCATGTCGCGGGGCAGTAATTTGTCCCACTTCGCGGTAAATTGACGCTATCATCCAGTCAACGCCCCACTGCTTTCACGAAGACTCCTGGGATCTAACCATGATACCTTCGGACAGAGGCGAACGACTTCGCGCGACTGCAAGAGCTGCTACTTAGACTGGTTCGCACAGAATGTGGTCAGTCTAAGTTAGGATGCTTATACTTTCAGGGTCTCCGACGAAGTTTCCTTTCCAGGCACATTCGGATCACGCCCTTCTTAATTGGTATCCGAGCAGAGACGATTTCGGAGACGCTAGATTGTGTACATCTTCGAGTTCCTCGGCCTACGCTCGAGATTAATCATGAAACCACAACGCCATTCAAAAAATTCCACACTTACGTACATAGAAACCTTCCGAAAGGTCATTCGAATTCCATTTCTAATACTGTATACCTTGCCCACGAACGGTGCGGAAGGAAATCTCGACGCTGCGTAAATCCGGAAGACATTTGAAAACACTACAGAATGTAGTGTTTTCCGTGTAGTGTTTTGCAGAACTTTAGGATGTACTTAAAAGTTTCTGGAAAATGTGTTTAATTCCATACGAGCTATTCACAGGATTCAAATTTTTCAAGCAATTCCAGCTGAGTTTTGGGATCACTTTTATACCCACAAAAACGGACCACGACACACTTTGGAAACCTGACGAACGGGCACTAAAACGTTCACCCCTTAAAAAAAAACTAAAATAATGTTACTTCAATAATGTTCTGCAGAGCTATTTCTATTTTGGGACTTTTTTCTCAAAATTCAAGCAAGCGGGGTTTTCGTGTCGCATGATTTCTGCATTTTCTCTCCGTGGGGTTATCTCAGGCTCAGGAACCCTTCCTCAAGATATACAGTACTCCACGTGGGGACAGAAAAAAGTCAGCCAATCAGAGATACTGTATAGCAAGGCTTTAAAAACGAAGAGCGAAAATCGGAATAGTCAGCCGACAATACACGTCGGAGTCAAAACGCGAACCTGTCTTCAATCTGTTTCGTTTCCTAAAAAAAAAATTGTTGGCTTCCGTCCAAACATATGTTTCCCAAGTTCGGAGGAATGTGGGCCACATCGAGCATAATCGGAACAATTTGGATGCTGTTGATCATCAGCTGGAACCCGTTGATGAGGCATTCTGGCTCGACAGTCGCCAGGGAGCCGGGATTGCATGTGGATAATTGCTCGCAATTGTGACGAGCAGCTCCTCAGCGACGAGTCGGCCTGTAACAAGGCTCTATGAAGCAATCACCGTTCGATATCAGAGAAGACTTTTACGCCGCGAACGGCAATTAGCGCACGGCACCAAACAATCGCTCCTCGCCTCATTTCGGGGCGTCTAGTAAGTACCATGCACCGACCGGAGCGTAGGGCCATTAGCCCGCTGGAAAACTGATGCTTCCCGTCCAAAGCGTAAGCAAATGACCGAGGAAAAAAGGAAGCCTGGATATTAATTTTTGTTTAGTCTAGAGAAGCGCCCCGAGACGCCGCTAGCTCCGGGCAAGGCACCCATTACAAAGGGGCATACCGGATACGTTGCGGCACACGCCAACGCCTGCGCCAGAGTGTGTCTCGATCGTATCGTCTCAACTTCGTAAGATGCTATTCGATCTTCGAGGAGATGAGCCCTGGGTTTGAGCCGAAACAAGAACGGTCATCGGAAGAACCTCCGCATTGGGCGTATTTAAACGCGGCTATGAACGCACAATACTAGGGATGCTCTATATTCTATAAGTTCTCATCAGACATTTGCTGTTACCAGAGCTGTTTACCAATAAATATTATAATATCGTTATCCACCCAGTCAACCTTGAATTTGAAAAAAATCTCATCCACCCAGCTTACCAAAGAAAACTAAGAAACAGAGGGAATGTGTCTCCCCTCCCTCTCATACAATATGGAAGGACAAATGCTCTTGTGCAAAAGCAGGTGATGAATGAATTTTATTTATCCCAAGAAAAAAAGCATCACTATGCAAAACTTATGCTTGAGAACACTGTCCCTGCATGAGCAGTTACTAAACCCAAACTAATTCTCTTCGCTGCAAATACTAACCCATATCTAGATACAGTACCAGGATCCCCCAGCCTCAGAACCCATCTGAACCTTGTGGGAGCAACAGCTTGTGCAGGGATACCCCTTGCCATGGGTAGTCAGACCTCTGACACTGTAGTACAAATTTTTACCAGTGCGCTGAACTACCTTTTGTGCAGGGATTACTCAATATCAGTGATCAATATTATGAAACTTTAAACTTACAGAAAAAAAATCGAAATAAAAATGAAGAGTGAATCTTTCTTGGAGAATCGCCAGATCAGTTAGGAAAAATCGTCACTTGCTGAATTGCCTATTCCTAAAAGCAAGAAAAAATGTGCTATGCAAGCATGCATAGCACATTGTAAAACTGCTTGAAAAAAGTTACAAGTGTTTTACAACTGCAGCTGTCTTGCAAAGTGTAAGTAAAAACATTTCTCCTTTAAAATGTGGGAACACGCTTTTACTTGATTCTCACCAAACATAAACAGCAATATCCAGGCTAAGAATTTCTACAGCAATTTCCATAAAATTTTTCAACCAAAGACTAATTACATGAAATATATATGGATCTTCGGACCTATAATTAAAAACAAATCAGATCTCTTCGCGGGGCTCTGCGGCGATCGAGGCCCGTTCCGTGGGTAATGTTTCCCCGTATGGCCTATGCAACGCCGTGTGCGGTTGCGGACGCGGTCTCTGTGTCTCGATCGTATCGTCTCAACTTCGTAAGATGCTATTCGATCTTCGAGGAGATGAGCCCTGGGTTTGAGCCGAAACAAGAACGGTCATCCGAAAACCTCCGCATTGGGCGTATTTAAACGCGGCTATGACCGCACAAAACTAGGGATGCTCTATATTCTATAAGTTCTCATCAGACATTTGCTGTTACCAGAGGTGTTTACCAATAAATATTATAATATTGTTATCCACCCAGTCAACCTTGAATTTTAAAAAAATCTCATCCACCCAGCTTACCAAAGAAAACTAAGAAACAGAGGGAATGTGTCAACAGCTTGTGCAGGGATACTCCTTGCCATGGGTAGTCAGACCTCTGACACTGTAGTACAAATTTATACCAGTGGGCTGAATTACCTTTTGTGCAGGGATTATTCAATATCAGTGATCAATATTATGAACTTTGAACTTACAGAAGCAAATCGAAATAAAAATGATGCGTGAATCTTTCTTGGAGAATCACCAGATCAGTGAGGACAAATCGTCACTTGCTGAATTGCCTATTCCTAAAAGCAAGAAAAAATTTGCTATGCAAGCATGCATAGCACATTGTAAAACTGCTTGAAAAAAGTTACAAGTGTTTTACAACTGCAGCTGTCTTGCAAAGTGTAAGTAAAAACACTTCTCCCCATTTTACACCCTTGTGCGAAAATGAACTAAGAGTGGTTTGTATTTGTCGTTATAGGTCCGATTCTTAAAGATGTCGTTAAAGGTATTTTAAAAAGTTGGTTTCTGATTAATGTACTTTATATATACCTTCCAGATATACCTTGGACTTTGGCTCCAATTCTAAAGATTTGCAGTGAAGATAATTAGTTAGGGTGTAGTAAGTTAGTAACAATACCCCCAGGCAAGGGCACCATCAGCCTGGGGAAAATTACTTCTTACCTAACTCAATTCTCTTCACTGGCCCAAAATCAAATGATTTTCCCAGCCCACCCCAGACAAAAGCAGATCATGTCCAAGATCCTGCTAAAACCCTGAGGCTGGGGGATTCTGGTATCTACATATGGCCCAGTAATCACAGTGAAGAGAAATGAGTTAGGTAATTACAGTACAGTAAGTTTTCCCAGGCTAATGGTGCCCTTGCCTGGGGGTGTTGATAATGTGACACATAACTTCCAGAAGATTTTTGAATCCTTCTTAATTCGTCAATTACAGTAGCCTGAAAACGTACGGACCTTCCCTTGTACCCATAATTTGACCGTATAACCATATCACTGTGCATGCTGCCATGGTACCGCTTGGCAACTGGGCCTGAATTATTTGACGAGCCCTTGTGCCATGGATGAGCATTACAAAGCAGGCAATATAATAATATAAAATCCAACTGCCTTGAAGAACATTTACACGTCGGAAAAGCTTTCAAAATATTCCGGTACGAAAATGCAATACGACAAAAACTTCAAAAATAATTTGTGATGAAGCGCAAATAAGCAGAAGATGATTGATTTAAAAAAATATTTATGCATCATCCGGGCATTGAAAACACATAAGGTTGGAAAAGATTACGTCGTTATAGCTAGCTCTTGCTTAAAGACTACTTTCGTGGATAGGTTTGATGAAAGCCTGATGAAAGCCCTGAACAACAAAATCGTGGCAAATATTCCCGCGCACAAAAATCCTCCGTTTTGGAAGAAAAATCACGCTCAACGTTTTCTCCCGCGGACAATTAGAGGAGAAAATAATAAAATGAACGACGAACAATTCAGAACGTTCAACTCAACTCGAAGCCAGCGCCTTTCGTTGAATCAAGCTAATCGATAAATTGATAAGCAGACTGTAGAAGATAAATCAGCCGTTCGCGAAGGACCGAGGCTTTGAAAAATGAGATGCGGCAGATCGACATAAATCAAAAACCGCATTCGAATTCGGTAGCTGCAGCGAAACAATGAAGCAAGCGGGTGATCTGAAGATGGTTTCAACTTGAAAATAGAAATCTTGCGTCGAGTCCACCTGCCTTTAATAGCGATTGAATTCGTTCTTCGAATACCTGAACAAAAGTATGTTCGTAAATACACGCGATATTATACGATAAACGCTGGTTTAAGAATAAAAATTTGAGAATGAGGAAACTTCCCGGGATATACAGTAATTCCGCTATGAAAAAAATGGAATATCGCGGAAGAGCACAGATGAATATTTAAGCAGATAAAAACGTTCACGAGTTATACGGTAAAAATAGCTTTCACATTACAGTACTGTATATTTGCCGATAAAATGGTAGTTGGACGCTCCACAGTGATTTTCTACGCATAACTCATTCTTGGTCCAATAGGGTTTTCTTCCCGTATTAAATGGACGCACTACGACAAAATTATTTCTAAAACTAATTGCTTCTGGTGCCATACATTTCGTTCTAGAGTCCGCCTGTATTTTTAATCTCCTAATCATTCAATTGTCGTGGTCCAACAAGAGTGTCTTACTTCATTTGACAAACATATGTGGGCTCTCTAATTTCTCGACTAACAACTCGAAACTTTGCCTTATTGCATGTTAGCTACTGCAGTCAAATTTAGTAGAAAGAATTACAATACAACTTATGATATAAAGTGATTCTCACTCAGCCGACTTCACAAATTCTGTTCATGGAGCATGCTCTTATGAGGCATTTTTAAGCATTTCTGCCAGTCAAGCATTTGTATGTAAAAAAGGACATAACAGTATTTTACTGTGTCAGCTACTTTCAAATTCCACACGTTCTTGCACTTTTCTTGAACTACGGCACATGCTTATGGCGCAGAAAATGCTAATTTAACGATTAGGAAATTAATGGGTGAATACATTCAGCAGTGCCTTTTTTCACGTACCCAACCATTCAATTAGTTCATTAAAACGCGGAAGCAGACCAGATGAACTGCTGTTTTAAAACAGAGTACTGAATGAATTTTTCGCACGGCCGAGCCAACAGCGTCGTTATCAGCTCTCCATCATTTTGAGTTAGAACGCATCGCATTGGTTTAAAACTCTAAATAAACCAGTCGAACGCCGACCTCTTCCCGCTGCTTATTTTCCGAGTTTCTTCGAAGATCAATTGAAAAATGATAATTCGCCAACGCAATCACACCTATGCCGATTAGCTATGAGGAGATGAACTTGGAGCACTTGCGAACGATTCGCGCTTCTTCACACTCCTCGATAAATCGGCTCTATAGATTTTTAGGCATCCCAACGATGGTTTGGGTTCAAGCAGAGTTCATTGATACCAGCCGGCAATAACACCCAACACAAAAAAAGAAAGAATGTTACAGACACCCGAGAAATACAGGGAAAGGGAAGGGGGAGACTTTTGGGGCAGTGATGTTTTTCTGGGCAAAACAAAGGAAGGGTTGGACAGGATGTAATTTGAACCCCCTCGACGGCCACTTCTTAATTTTCAGTTGAAAGTTGTTCCTGATTCCCGTCACGAACGAAAAAAAAATCGAAAAATACGTCGGTAAAAACCTCCTCTACATATGTTCCAAACTGATGCCTGCGGTTTCCAGGGGCTTTGTGGATGTTCCAGAAAATGAAGGAAAATGTGAATGGAATAAGGAACAATAGTAGAGTCAATTCAAGTGATTTTAAGACCAGAGATATGTGACAGGTATAAAAATTGGGGCCAACAGACGGAAGATTCGGACTACGCCGGACATTCCAGGTCTAAACCCAATAAAAGATTTCCTTCCCTTCCTAGGCTTTCGCTGAAAATTGCATTCCTAACAAAGGCTCCGTGAAGCAACAATCTTGAAAACCCCTGCAGTAAGTTGCTCGGCGATTTTAGTACGGATTGGGGAATTTATACTACTGCAGTTGAAGCTGGATAAAAGCCGTTGAAAGTTTGTGCTGAACGCTACTGAAATCTTGGCAAAAGAAGGAATTGGAATTCACAAACTCGACAACATGAGTATTACAGTATTCATATTTCATCCCCTCAAGAAAGCAAAAAACCAAAGTGATTCCTATTGCCCATATTCACACGTATACAGTACTGTATATCGTACAGTTAATTCCAAAGGAACCTGAGGAGGAGGATTCTGTACTTCACAATATTATACTGTACTCCTATGAAAGAAAAAAAAACAATAATTCTTCATGCAGAAAATTTTCTAAGTGAAAATATCGAGACAAAAAATATGCAGTTTACAGTTCTGGAACCAGGAAAAACTTCATTTCGCGCATAATATTGCTGCGGCGGACAAGAACTTCGTGCAAAGATTCCATCGGTATTTTCGCATGCGCGCCGATGATCGGTGACTTTCTGACTCATGGCTCTAGAGAAAGAAGTCTGATTCTCCTTTTTCCCTCCGCCATGCATTTCTAAAGATCTTGCCTTTTTCCGCATGTTTTAATTGGCGATCTCGCAGCTTTCCCCCTCTCTCGGCCCGTTTCATGGGCCGCAAAATCTAGCGACAGAGAAGTAACTAACCTTGGGTGCCAGCTGAGCTTCACGGTCCCGCTCGTATCTCTGAAACTTGAAACTGTCGCTCCGATGCAGCTCATTTTGCTCCCTTTTCGGAAACAATTGCAGGGCTTTGGACTTGGCCTTCAGTCGGAGCAAATGCGCCTGGATGTTCTCTCCCAGGAAGCCCGCGGTTCGTGCCCGGACCCAGGCCGGGCGAGTCGGGGCCTGGGTACAAAGGGCGCAGTCTTCACCGGGCGAAACGTCGCAGGGTCGTCGCAGCATCGCATCCGACGGCGCCTGACCGTCCCTGCTGATGTTGTTGCCGCTGCCGCAGCGGCGTACAGAGTTGTTGAACCGGGCGCAAAATTCGCACGACGCTGCGGATGCGTCGAACCGGGGGTCGAGGTCGATCCTCGCGTGCGGCCCGATGTTCGTCAAGCGTTCGGCATCGTTAGTGCACACCGCGGCCATTCCGGCCCATCCGATGTTCCCTGTTCGCCGCCCTCCGACCGTGCTTGCTGTTCCCAAGATCACTCCGCATCGGCACGTTTCGATGCGTCGGCATCGTGCACGACCGGCAGAAACGCCACCATTTCAACACACTTATTTAACTCGCGCCGAAATACTGCCCAGAAAAAAAAAGGAAAAAACGTCAGCCTTTTGACCTTCTTTCCCTGTTGCGGAAAGTTCACGTTCGCGAAAATACAAAAGAATACCACCGCGAATCATATATGGAGTTCGGGGTGTAGTTTGACGATGTCCGAAAGCTCCGGCAGTGTTTAATCGCATTCCTCTTGCACGTCAAGTCTTATTTGCTCGATTAAATCCTTTATGACCAAAAATTTTCCGAAAACTGAGGCGTTTGTGCTTGATCACTTAGTGTATCCGAGTCGCTCTTTTTTTCAGTCGCCATTTTTTCTTAAAAATGATTAATTTTTTAGAAAATCAGCTGTGCAAACCTTCATTTCAGATCTTAATTTGTTTACCTATTTTTTTCCTCAAATGCGGTCGCAAATCAAAGGGCAGTCTATATGCCCTATGGGCAGGGGCAGACCGTATATATACGGTACCGTTTCCGAAAAAAAATCAACTGATTGATTCAATTGGGATAAATCAGAAGCACCTCACAGCGAATTCTGGGATCACATTGCATTGAGAACGAGTAGATGATACAAATGCGTGAGGACTCGAACTACAATATCCTCTGCATTATCAGTGATATATACACCGCGAATCTGTTACAATTTCACACAAAATTCCCGAAGTTTCTCAGCAGTTCCACAGGAAATATTTTGAAATGTTCCTAATCGAGAAATAACAATTCCTCACATGAGGAGACTTCGAAATTGACTCGATGCTTAGAGAAGCAAGACCCACACAAAACCGAAGGGGACTAATGCACACATTTCCTTAACCAAAGGTAAAAACTTGCACCATTTCTTCAAACTAAGCTTTTCAAAAATATTTTGGCCAAATTAATACATACTAGACCAAAAAGCGCAAAGTTCTTAGTTGTAGAAGTTCGGACTGGAAATGTTCATGTAGTTGTCGCACAATAATGTGATGAACGATCTCTAATGCATCCAAACATGGCAACAGCATGCCGAAGGGAATGCGTTTCTGACTACACTGAGTATTGAATATATCAGACTCGAGACCGAAATTCCTTCAAATAATGCATTTGAAGCCTCAACGGACGTTGTATTTTGACCGCGGATCCTCAGGAATGAAACAAACAGACGAATATAGGCATTACTGAAGTGGAATACGAGAAGAATAAAATATAAAAAAAAAGCGACAACGTCCCAGTAGTCAAGGTCCGGCTTGATACTATCGTTGAATCACGGAATGAGGAATGACGAATAAGGAAGAATCGCATTCGAAATTATTCAGTACTTGAGACAACTTTGGGAAGCACCGCGCAATTCAACGAATAAACCTGCCCCTGAAATGCAAAATCACGACCGCTTCTTCCATAATAGGCAATGGGTGATCTATAATCCTTTCCCTTGACAATCCAGAAAACGGTACGCAACGTCATTGATGATATAATTTAATCAAGACAAACTCCATGAATTATTTGACAGACTCACTTTTTAAAAATTCTTGTCTCTCTCGATTGATTCCCTGATGCATTTTCAAGCACGTCCCGTCAGTTTAAAGTTTTTTTTCAATCATGAAATTCCATAGTTTTGAAAAAATAAGAAAACCGTAAATTCCAGAAGGGCAAAAGCTGTTTTATCGATGATTTTACCCTGTCACTTTTATCCAACAGGTGCCGAATCCTATACACTACTGGAATCCGAAAGTTCGTGCTTTTTTGAGCGAATCTCCGAGAAACTTTTGCACACGCCCAGCATTTATTTATATTTCCAGTGGACACGACAGAAATCGTGAAATTTCGAAAATCTCACCTGAAATACAGTACTGTATTCTGATCCACAATTTCTTATTTCAAATACGGACACTCATCATATCACATATTCTGAATAAAAACACGAGTCCTCAATTTATTTTACTCTTGAGTTCACTGAATACAGTATCTGGTTATATTTTTATCATTAATTTCAATGTTGTTCAGCGGGTGGCCCTCGGATAGGGGCTGGTCCGCAGAAACTTCCTTTCGGTCCATAAAGCCTTTTTTTCAATAGATGTCATAAACATTAATACTCTATAGCCCCAACCACACGCTGATTATAATTAACGAGCAGATACCTGATATAACACCAATATATTTTGCAAGCCTGGAGAAATAGCTTCATGAAAAAATCTTACCAGAATCTCTCACTACAATCCTTAAGAACAAGATTCTCGGAAACTTGTGCCTGTGAAGAACTAATTTTAGAAGTATTGCTATACATCGCTTCATCTAATCAGATATTCTTTTTCTTTAATATACAGCAGAGATATGGTCGTCTGAAATTTTACAGCATTAAAAACTATTTCGCCATAAATTTCCATCAATTAGTCATTTTTTGAACTCTCTCAAGCCAACTGAAACATTGAGGATTATACTTGCCGATTAATGGTCGCAATTTCCACTCCTTGTAAAATCGTACATTAAAAATAATCGGAATTATATTTTCAATACAGATATGTTTAGTACAGTGCAACCTCTTCACGTTGAACCGCCATGAGTCAAAAACCTCCCTGCCGACTGAAATGTCATGAAATTCCTTGCAAATCCACTTCAAGAACAATTCATTTAAAATCTCATTCACTCGAATTTTTTCACTCCAACTTCCATTGTCAAAGTTTCCGTGTTCTATTAATTTGGATTATATCTAAGAACACCTGATCCGGAATAAATGCAATTTTTTTACTGCATTTTAATGCTTTCCATAAGGGATACGGCACCTTTCCCAGGTAGGAAATCAAAGATGGATAAACTCTCAATAATTACGCCAGGAAATGATTTTGATTGGTTAACACAGATCAGATCATATTCCATAAATCATATGATTATAAGTCTCTTGAAAATGAACTTAGTGACGTTCCACTGTTTTGAATTATGCTAGTTGTCAGCCAGAGTTGACAGTTACTATGTACGCGAATCGTAACATGAAGAGTCATTATTTATACCTGTACTGTACCTACAAGTCGAATTCAGGTTTGTAAAGAAAAATGCAGGTTATCAAGGAGCAAAAATACTGCTCTCAAATTACTCGTGGTACAGCACATCTCGTTCTTCATTTGGGCACGGTTCACTTATCCACTTTTTGTGTTCATTTATTGCTTCAATAAAATAACTTCGCTTAAACCTCGTGCTTCTCCCCCAACCGCGAGTCTAAGCGCCCACGTGTCCAGTGCATCTCACAAGACAATCGTGATTCGCGAATTTTGAAATATCGTCCTCCGTCCAGCAGGTCTCCCCGAGTACAAAATACAAAAGTTGAACCTGCACTGCCTAAGCTTACTCAGTCGTAATCAATTTTCAGTCAGCGGTAAAATCATAAAAAAGCTTCATTCAAGCGCAGCTTCATTTGACGGAATATTTCGAATTTTCATTTGATATTCAGATGAATTTACATCATTCGTATCTGAAAGCAAATACCGCTTACATGAGCATAAATATGAAAAAAATAAGCTGAAAGTCATGTTCTCATACGAGGCACCAAAAATATAAAAAAAAACTAATGGGCTTCTCAGAGGCAAGTTCTTGAGAACATCTGCAAAATGTTCAGCGCTTAAGATATTTCCGGATCACGACGATATCACGACAGGTCATCTTGGGTAATCTCTTTATCTTCGAGCAATCGTCCATACTGTCAATTATTCCAAAAACTAGGTTATTTGAAAAAAGCAACCAGACGCGATCATAACGCACTTGAATCCAATCCGACGCGCTTTCAATCAATTCGAACGAGTTCTTGGATTTGCACTGTTCCACGCTCGAAAATGCGTATATCGATCAACACAGACTTTTGACAAAATAATGGGGAAAAGTTCAGACTTGTTTAGCGGAAAGAAAAAAATCCGAATCCTTGAACAATAACGTTCTCGCCGATAATCTCCGGAGCACTTCCACAACCAGTTTTTTTTTATTGGTTTCCTGCCTTTTCCGGTCGTCATAGACCTGCTGACGCGTCCGCGCAGGTCCGCATCCCACGAGGGAATGCTAGTGTGAGCGAGAGGCTCGTCTCACGTCAACCAGCATAGGGATCATCCACGGGCGAGTCGGGGAAGGCTGGCTTCACGGCGGCCCACCACCGCGTGGAACCGCGCGGGTTGCTTCGCCGCAGTGCCACCTGCACGCACGCCGCCCGGGTTCAAGTCGACCTTGCTTCATGCCCTGATGACGGTAGGGTTCGAGAGCCGAACACTTTCTAGTCCTCGCGCACCCCTGGCTTTATCCCATCGGGAGCAGGAAAAAAGGTTCGTGTCATCTGGATCGCAACAAGGATCTCACTGTGCACTGAGCGGACCACCGCAGCGCTTTCCGCGTTTGCGTTTCTGTTGGATCGGTTTTTTTTTTTTTACTGCGGCCTTGAGCAGTCTTCTGGAAACGGTAACACCACCTAACAAGATATCCGTCTTATTATTTCAGAGGAACAGGTTCTACTCAACTACTTACTGGATTTTTAAAAAATCGCCGCGGAAAATAAGGGGGAATGAGCTGACCCAGGGGTTAGCAACCTGTGCTCCGCGGAGCCCAAAGGTCCCTTCCCCAAGGTTTTCTGTTCCAAGAGTTTCGATATTGAGATGCATAATTTGCAATCATAGGCAAATAACATGAAAGCGACATTAAAGACATAATTTTCCTTTTTTAGCCTAAAAAATGGCGTGAAAGACGTTGAGATAGGACACAAAGGACTCCATTCTAAAATTTAGTTCAAATATTGGTTTAGGCTTTTGGAGGGCTCATTGAATAAAACGGTTGAGAATCTCGAAACCCTTGATCTAATCTTCACTAGTCATGGGAAGAAATCATTCCCGGGTCGTTTTACGGGAGGATGCTTTTGGAAACGAGTTGGTTTTTTGGTAAATTGTCGCACTAACTTATGAGATATTCATCAGCACAATGCGATGAACGCCTCTCATTCAATTACCTCATCCAATATGTAATGTCCAAGTAGATGGAGGAGAATGAAAACGTCATATCATTTTGGTGATTTGGGGCTTTCCCAAGCCTCAGACATAAAATAACCCTAATTCGGAAGTAAGGGTTCCTAGGCCTAAGGCATAAATCAAATGTCGACCAATATGCATATAGGCATTTATGAACTTAATTGAATCATGGATACTCAAAAATACAGAGTTTGACATGCACATAAAGTAGTTGAACGTTCATCGCGAAAAAAGCAAGAAGGTTCCAAGCTTAAATCACACTGTATGCATTCTCTTTTTGCATCAAGGAGAAAACAACTTGTAATTAGATTGTAAGCATCGAAAGTTGCTGTTCTTCCTTCGACATTTTGCGACGTCATCAAAGAACAGTTATGCTTGAAGTTACTCAGGAAGGGGAAACAATTACCTGAATGGAGCAATAGAACTAACTAAAGAGAACTAAGAAAACATTTCGAGTATCAGCTGTTTAATTCGAGAATATTAGTTCCGATATACAGACCCAAATATTATCTCGATAGCCGTAAACGAAAGATTGCAGACGAACCCAGTTCGTTGAACAGAACACGTTAGAATGAAATGGTAGGGTCGACTGATCATTCCATGCATGATTCTGACGAAACTACAAAGACTTTTTTTGCAACTTTCCTCTATTTTTTACATGCACAGATGAGAGAAACTCTGCTTCTCCAGAATTACTGGAATGCTGGTCTCATATTGGTTTTCCCCAAAGATGAGAGAGGGCTTGAACGTGGGAAGGGCTTTTCTGTAGAATCTTTGAGGAACAGATGAGGAACATAAGTGACACACGAAATTATGAGAGTTGATTCGGAGAACGAGAAATGCGTTTCGGAATGAGGAAACGAGCTTTTTTTCTCTCAACATAACATATTTTAGCTAGTGTCTGGAAGTAGTGCTAACGCTAATTGACTGCTCATTTGGGTGGAGGGGGAGGCAATATGTTTCACGGCAAAGTTCTTCAACCCGTGATGCACGAAACATTGTCCGATTTGAGGAAACTTCCTGCGAGTTTCCGCAGGGAATTTCTTGCTTTACTGCCCCAGATATTACAGTACGCAGCGTAAAATGGTTGGCAGAAAATCCTTTTGTTTCCCCCCATCCGCTAGTAGTGCACTAAAAAGTTCGAAGACCTGCGTCACCGGATTATTCTTGATGAGCTTCACATTTTATTCGTCGAGAAACGCGTCGTTCGTGGCGCCAGCTGATCACGTATACCGATGGCAGCATTCACGCAGAAAAATTATCGCCTTCCGAGCCCCGGGGAAAAAACGTGAGGGGAAGCTGGTTATCAATAGGAAGCCAGCGGGTAGCGAACAGCCACTGAGCATCACGCATGGGTGCATGCATGCCCAGGATACGCTATTTTCAATGAAAAGCTATTTATTTCCTGACTAACGATACTCGACCGAAACTCTTCCCGAAGGTAGACTATGCTGCGAGACCTGCAATTATTTCCTCATACGATAGTCAAGAAATGATGAACGACTCGCAACTGATTCAAGGTAGTTCAAGCGGCGTCTTTGAATTTCACAACCCTTCGCCAGGTTCTCACCTTAATCAACTGTCTCGATTCGGGGCAGGGAGCATTCCAGATAACATCGGACGATCACTAATCGATTCCTTGTCTGCTTTTTCCGAGTCATGGACGCTCAAAGCAATCACCGGAGAGCGGACGTGTTTCGGGTTCCACGAAGAAAAAACGTATCCAATCCTAGATCTACGAAGATGGGATGAACTAAAACCCGAAGCAACCTAGCTGACGCGCATCACCGAAAATAAATTACTGTACGACGCTCTGAACAATCACAAATGTGGTTCCATTTATCGCGACCGCTTCCCATTGTTGCGTTATCGACTGTGGTAATTGAAGGAAGAAGTCATTTTGAATGACAGAAACGTGTCGTACGTCTCATTTGAATCCGACTAAAATACCTTATATAAGATTTCTATAACACTAATAAAACTTCTGCTGTTCGATTTCCTATAGCTCGCGCGTCATTCCTTGTACTGTACTACCGTTAATGAAACTTTGGTCGAACGCAAAATCCCTTCGTCCAGAAAAAACTTGGCAGTCAATTTTTTATTCATAAAAAAAGCAAAAGTAAAATCTGAAATAATTTTGAGTGAAATTGGTGATGGTTCCGCTGAACTGTATAGTACTGTACTGCTCTCTATGTATAGCGCTGAGCATTTAGTGACATCTAGCAAACTTGAATTAGTTAAACTGGATATCTTTCAAAGCAAAACATAGAGCTCGTAGCGTACTGCCCGCAGTTGCAGCATTTCTTCCAATCGGCTCGGACGAATACTGTACCTACCCTGAATACTGTATCCTTCAATATTTTAAATGTTCAATTCCTATATTGGATTAGGGCTTGATCTACCCCGAGATAAAAAGATTTCAACTGTGTTTCCCGGATGTGAAGGATGCTGCACTTTTTTTTCCCGAACAATATCGTAAAATGACTTGATACGAGCACAACGCTGCTTTCCAGTTCTACAACCAGTCAAGAAAACCGGACAGAGCGGTTTTCGCTGCGTGGTCTATCTCTGCGATCTTCTAATGCTGGTTTCCGAATGCTTTTTTATTATTTATTCACGGTACGAAATAGAATGGAGGAGTCGTTGATGGAAATCCTTCCGATAGATGAAATCTACGTTTCTTCGTGCTATGTGCTGTACTTTATTCGCTCCACAGACGTTCGGTTGGCTGGTTAAATTTCATTTGCTTTTCAACTACGCGTGAAAACCCTGCTCAAGTCTCTGTGTAATTTGCAAGCCGGGTGTAAACATGTTTCCTCATGAATAAAGTTATCGGGTCCTACCTTGAGGCAATTGCTTTGTCTAGTAATTGGAGTGATCTTCGGTCCAACCGTGACGAAGTGCATAGAAATCGAGTTGCAGTGTACGTGAGCTATAGAGCCAATTTCTTCCTCGTGGATTTTTCCAAGCGTATCAAAAAGTTTCATCTTTCGTGTCCCATGCGTCGACACTTCCGCTCGAAATGACGGTGTGCTCTAGGAGTTAATCTGCAAAAATCTTGTGCCTTGAATGATCTTGAGATTGACTGTTTCTATGCGTGATTTTCTTTGGGGTGAGCAATACGTGGGAAGTGTTGCATGTATCCTCATTCGTGTTATCTTGGGATTTAGATCCGGTATTTTCGACTTCTGAATTGTACAGCACCATTTTCAGGACATCATGGCTGTGTGTATGCATATCGCCTGCATGTGGGTATTCCCTGAGCATATGCCTCAAATTTCGGACGCCATAATTCGCACCTGTACAATTCGAAATTTTCCCAAAAGAAACGTTTCAAGTTCAGATTTCCGCCAACGGTGGTATCCGAGTTCTTCGTTCAGGTGTTTTTTTTTTTTATTTGTATATATTCATTTTTTCGTCTTCCACTCTTGAATGAAAATTCCAGTTTCCTCATCGATTTTGTACTGAATTCAAAACTCCTCTGACAGAAAATCGGTATGCTATAAAAATCGGACGTACCACCAGAATGGTACTATAGCTTACCCTTATATACGTGTCACCAGTTGAAAATTCCTGCTTAAATAGACCTATACGCCTTTGCGACGTCTACAAGAACGATCTAAATTTTTACACATTTACTGTTCTTGGGTGGGATCTCGGGTCTCTTCGTTGGGTTTCTTCGTTTTCGTTCAATTTGTTCTCACATGGGTTTGATTAGTTCTGAACCAAGCGGTGGAGAAGCGCGAAGATAGTGAAAAAATAGTTCTCTTTATCATCGTAGATGTCCCCAGTGTAGGAATACAGCGCATACAGGTAACATCGTCTTTTCCTTGCATTATGATGAATTTTTCTCGGTCTCCACCCATATCGTAAAAGCTCTCTACCATGGAATTCTCTCTGCGATGAAATTTTTCTATTCTCTCAAATTTCTTCGCAGAGAAACCGCGGCGCCAACTTTCCTGACCGGAGATTTTCTCATGCTCATCTGGAAGATTCGTTTCTGTTCCGATCGACAGGTCGAAATTTTTTTTATATTTTTGAAAATGGAGCGTTTATTAAAAGTCTATGCCTTCATGACATTAACGTCCGTCGCGACAATGCATGGTGTTCATCACAGGCCGATTAGTCCTTTTCTCTGGCAACCACAAACTGCGCCGCCTCCGGCGAATCATCCGCCTCCGGCATATTTTCCCGCTGGCCATCAGCCTGCTCCAGTTCATCCTTCATACCCACCTCAGCCAAGCCCAGCAATTGAGGTAACTTCTTTTGCGCGAACATTCAGGAGAGATAGATACGCGGTTTGATTTCCGCAGTGCGGCGTGAGTTACTCCGAGGAACATTGCGACGAATGCGGAGACCCGAACAGGCCGTACAGGCCTCACCTTTACAACGCGGTGAACGTCGACGAATACTTCCAGAAAGCCATGAACCCGGAAATCGACTTGCGACAGGGTCCCAGCAGTCCGGACTACGATAAGCTGGTGACTCAGGTTGAGGATGCTGTCAACGAGAACACTGCCAGACGATACCGACACCCCTGGCAGGCAGCGATCATCACGTCGGATTTTTCCTTCCTCTGTTCCGGTGTTCTCGTCAGCGCGACGACGATCGTCACTGCTGCTTCCTGCGTTGAAGGCAAAACCCCAGCCGAGCTCCGAGGGCGCCTGGGCCAATTGGATTTAGTGTACAACATCGAGGTTTTGGAGCCTGTCTACGAGAGTGCGGTTAGCTCCGTAGTCATTCATCCTAGTGAGTTGAACGTCGAACCCCCGAGCGAGACTCCTACTCCAGTTTCCTTGCTGTCATATTTTTCTTCAAAGAATTCCTGAAATTCGTAAGAGTGGCCGTTTTCTGTGCGAAGCTAGCGAGTGACAGGTTACCAATCGGGATTCCCGAAAACATGCGCCGTGTAAATGCCGATTATATCGAAGCTCCGGCAATAACATGGAAATCAAGGGATATAGAGATACAGTAATTCCGTTCGGCTTACAAAGCAAAGCTCGGGCCTCGCACTGAAGTCGTTTTCCTGCTTGAATTCATGAACTGATTACTGTATTACGGATTTGGAAAGAAATATCTTTAGTTTTTTCCTCATACTGTATCGAAAGAAAAAGCTAAGCAATTTTGCTCACGAACAGAAAGTAAGCCTACACACGCGCAGATTATAGATAGCTTCGTCTAAGGAATTCAAATATTCTATGATATTCGCTTCGATACTGTCTGAAGGCCCTATAAATAAATCGGTCCGAGAAATTCTCTTGACTGCTGCTGGCCAAGCATTTCAAAGGAGAGTTTACGCGTAAATTTAAATTTAAATATTTGAAAAACACGCAGCAGCTGCTTCAGAAAGCGTGCGTCTGTGTTAGTTCGAAAAAAATCTTTAAACTTTCTGTCGGCATCCGTTATTATAATTTTCATGTCATTTAATCAGAAGAAACACGAGGAGAAAATCACTTTGTCGAAACGCGTTTTTCTGCGTCGATTCTTCCGAAATGAAGGAATTGTGTTTTTCTCAAGGGTATATAGAAACTGGTGGCTATACATACAATGTCGCTCTTCTCAACTTGCAAGTTCCAGTCGATTTTTGGAGATTCCCGAACATTCGACCGATTTGCTTGCCATCTCGCGCGCAGGTAGCATTAGCGAAGGATTCTTGCGTTGTGGCCGGGTGGCACGATTCCCCCGAGAAGCTGGTTACAGTCACCCTGCTCAAACAGAGTAACTACGCTGAGTGAGTCGAGTTGTTCTGTACATGAGTTGCAAGAAAAGCGTTCAATTTAAACCTTGGTTTCAGCATGAGATGAAATCGGCATTGATTATCGAATGAGTAAACACGAGCGCTCTATCCCAGGCTCGTTAATTCGTGGTGCCCGGCCTTAGAGAAAAAAATACCGGGGCTTTCGTAGGATTTCTTCCATTCTATTTATGATTTTAGCAATTTCTTGTTCACATTTTGCATTACTGTACTTTAAAGGGCATCATTTAAATTTGGCATCACTTATGCCAAAAAGTACGAGACCGAGGTTTTCATACCTTTCAGACCGTTCTTAGGACAATTTTGGGAATGCTCAGAACTGCCTGCAAATTGACGACGTACGTGACATAAATCTTATTTACAATGATGCACTCCGCTTCCAAATTTCTGTCTAATTCTTGCCTTTTCAATGTGAGTCGAAAATTTTGAAGCAATAGCCGGGAAAGGACCTAAAACCTCTCCTCTATCGAATACGGGATGAACAAGAATGGCAAAAGCTATGAATCGGCCGTATTAAAAGTTGTCCCGTTTCTCACTCCTGGTTTTACAATGGATCCCTGTTTAACGTAAGATCGTTGAAACAACGTAAAAAAATGCATATAGAAATTTCTTGGTGGCGAAAAATGGACTTTTACTCGAATGAAAAATCATTTCACGTACCGTACATTTTTTTCATGCCTGATCTACAGCAATTTTTGAGTTTTAAATGTTCACCATATTTTAAACAAAAAATTGAACTTGGCATCTCTCGCCTTTTCAATATATATGCTTATCACATTGAAAGCATATCATGCAATCTTTAATTTTCTGAAATACGCAGATTTCAAGGTCTATCCGGGAGTTTTTTCTTTCGTCCAGATCAGATTAAGAATTGAAGGATATATTTTGCATGAACAAATCATTACGAAATGGATAAGTTTCGTTTTGTGGGAATCCGCTGCATTCTATCTTCCGTTTTGACCACGAAGATTACTTTCCTGAATTCACTGGATTACAGGGCAGAGTTAAACTCAATTTTTCGTCCCTTTCTGGCTAATCGACGCAGAGTGCCATACAACAAAGTTTTCCGGAATGTCAATGAAGTTGTGACTCCTGCGTCGAAACCCGCTCCAACAACGCCTGCGGGATCGCCGGCCCGAGGCGAGGAGACCGCCTCTGACTCTTCCCAAGAATCCAAACCCAGCTACTCGTTTTACCAGCAATCTTACAGTAAAATTCTGCAAGACGCGTGCGTGAGAATAGCAGGACAGCAGGAGTGCCAAACGGCGATCAGCAAAAGCGGAGCGGCGGCCACTAACAATCACCCGCATTCCCACGACTTCGAACTGTGTCTTGTTAGAGGCTGCGTGCGGTCCGGGTCTCCATGTTTCGTAAGCTTAACATGCCACGTTCTACCCATTTCTATATTGATAAAAAGGTGGACCTTTCCAATCAAAGATGCGCGAGAGAGTTGTTCATCTCGCTTTTGGCGGCCTTCTGTTTGCGAACTTTCGCCCAACTCAAATTGAGATATCAGTCAGTCGAAGAAGTACTTATTGGAGACAGATTTGCGCAAATGATTTGCAATGATTCCTAAAGTGCGAAGCTATAAAATGCGCATGATAACCGTCTTCAATTTTTTTAAATCCTCCTTGATCACCTTAGTTTGTTGAGTACCGTTTTTATGTTAGTACTGCATACCCCTTTTCCCCAGAAATCCGTACCAAACTTGGTGTACGCGTCATACAAGTGGGTATGAATTGTTCCTGACACTTTTTCGAAAATGTTGGTTCACGTCATCAACAATCACATTAGTGTAAATTTTACAAATGTATACAGTAGATTACTGTTTCGACTAAAATTAAAGTTGAATTGCAATTGGGGGAAACCGATTTTTTTTAATGAACACTGACAGCTATAATAAGCCAGATACAAATATCAAAGACTAATATGAAAGGCAATATCCAACTTTTGATTTTAAATTTAGATCTTGCCCCATCTAACTTCCTCGTATTAAAAATACAATGTAAACTGGAGTGCGTGTCTTACGCAATGATTCTTCTTTACCAACTTTTTAGCTAAAAATCAAGGTGCATATCTTACGCCGGAATGTGTAATACAGTAATTGAGTTAATATAATTCTTGCTTAGCTCTTAATTAAAGAAGGAAAGAATTAAAAATATTATTGAACGTTTATTAACTGTACACAAAATATTGCCACCATCCTCGCAGCTCAAACCCTTCGAATAGAATAGGATTTAATTTTTTAGTATCTTTAGTTTTTCTTTGACGGGGAATTAAATATCATTTCCTAAAGAAGGACGCTAATAAGATTAATTCAGGTTTTTGCATGAAAAATAAGACCTTTTCGTATATCCTAGATTTCCATTATCCGGAAGACATCATGAGGCCCATTGTTTAGGTAAATCGAAGTTCGATTTTTTTTATAATTATCAGAAGAAAGAAGTCACTGAACTTTGGGGTATTCCCTCAATTTTTTCCATATTATGGAAAGCAAATATCACTGACTCAGTGATCTCCTACGTGTACTGAAGAGTGTAGAATTATTGGTTTATCATTAGGAAATAATTGAGCTCATCCCAGCAAATAATTAGGCGTAGCAAAACGCGTTGCAAATGAGTTTCAAGCCAAAACTGAGACGCATTTCATGCCCTTTCCTGTTATGCCTACTCCGGACTTTCATTAGTGCATTGCAGGCAAGCATATCAAAATGCCCACATGATACTCTGGGATGCATTCTGTGGATTAATAGCCTATAGTTAAAATTGGGGGAAATTCCTCCTGAGGATGGCTAGACAATTTCTTTTGACTGACAATAATCCTTGGACAATGGGTTGAGGATCACTGTGTTACTAGACTGGAAGTTTTATACAAAATGACCCACCACGCCAGGCTAACTGGTATGAAATATTAGTCTCCATATTTTCTTTGCCGACATGGTTTGCTGGCAGATAATGACAGTCTTGAAAGACGAAGCCTTGTCGTTTTACGTTTCCACAGGCGGACTTGGGAGCGGCTGTTGCTTGTCCAGTTAAAGAAGGGCATACCCCTAATCTCAGCAAACAGGCGGTTTATTACACAACTCCGCCGTATACTTCAACATTCGCCCCCACTACAACCGCGTTCCTTGCTTACACTGAGGTAAGTTTATTCCCCGCACCCGAACATCAGCCATATTCTTGTCAAGTACTGTACTGTGCTGCGCCATTGTTTCAACAAGGGAATTAAAATTGCGGGTTGCCGCTCGATTGATGAAACCTCTCCCCATATCGAGTCCGTTGTTATAGGCGATTTTTTTGCATACAGCCGATGCTTCGTTGACTTACATTTTGACGCCTTCGTTTTTTTAAATGAAATTTTCACTTGAACGAGATGGTGACTAAGAACATCAGTCTAGCCCAGTGCTCCCCAAGCCGTGGTCCGCAGAAGCTTTTTGCCAGTCTGCGTGAAAGCTACTGAAGCATTTACTGAATTTTTCTGAAGTGGCAATGAAGTCTGTTACATTAATCTGAAATTTTGGGAAGAGGATGGCAGTTGAAATTGTCCGAAAAAAATTTTACTTTTCTCCTAATAATACTTCAGACAAACTTTCACCTGCTGAAATAAAGATTTAATTTTTTTAAATTCTGAGATACCTTTACTCCAGCTAACCCTCTTAATTTTTTGAAGACAGTTCACTATAGCTGCTTCATATAAGTTCTTAATTTGGGCAAAAAGGGCAGGCACTTTTTAAGTACCTATCATGAAGTCTCTACAGCAAAACTTTTTTGGCTCTGCAAGAAGTGTAAGAAATTTTGCCGGTCCGCAGACAATTTTACAGAAATTTGCCGGTCCGCGGCCCAAAAAGGTTGAACACTGGTCTAGCCTAAACCCCTGTAACTCAAAATCTTTAAAGAGTGTGAATCTTTGAAGACAATGTAGGACAGGGAATTTGAATGGTACAGTACTCATTTGGAGAATGAGCAAACTAATCGGACGCATAAAATCTTGACTTTTGAGGTTCTGTATCCAGGTAGTTTCATTTCCACAACATAGCCTTTTTATGTTTGTAGATGAAAGAATTGTTCTTGCAATCAGCATTTATCAGCCTCGCTACTGTATTTCATTCCCCAAAATTGTGTTGAACACTTGAAGCTCCAGCAGTTTCCCAAATTCGAAACCTCGAAGTCGAATTCAAAGGGACTAACAACCAATACGACTTGAAAGAAGCCCGAAGGTTTTTCATTTTCGAGGAAGATAAAATCCACACAATTTTATCAAGAACTCATGACGGAACATGGGAAAGAATGATCATTTTTGTGTGTCAAATTTTTTTTTCAGAACCTGAGCCCATTTCCGCCTTCGAATCAACAAACGTCAGCAGCGCCATATTCCACGCCACCGCCCTCAGCTAGCGCCAAAGATAAATTCGGCACCAGTGTCCAGGAGAAATCCGGGGATCATCCCACTTTTAAAGTCTCTGCTTCCTTTCCTGAAGGCTGGCGAAGAAGAGTTTACTTCCTGACTGCAATCGTGGTGAACGAGCCACGGTGCACCGAATTCGGCGAGGAACCAACTGCTGTAATCGGCGTTGAATCCGTGTTGGACTTCATCCACAGAGGATCGCGCTAGTGGGATATGTCTTCATTGAGTTTCCGTCCGGAATTTCCTGCAATTTGTATTCATGCGGATTGTGCGTAGTCAGCGCAAAAAAATAAAGGCGAACTGCTGTGATTTGAGCAAAAGGTTAGTTTCCTCTCGATTGTTCTCATTTTCCTCGTATCGCCATTTAATCCAATCGTGACGCTCAACTCCGCGCCACCCAACTAATAGCAGGGCAATCTGGACATCTCCGTATATGTGGCGCAATGTTTTGCGTGCACTGGTACGACATTATCTTTGAGCCTGGTGAATTCCATATCATCGCTCGGTGAACTCTTCAAGTTTCCTGCCGTTATTATTTTTCAATTTCAGTAGCAGCACTGCATTTTCGTTCGGAATATTTTGCCGCACATGCATAGGATCACGAGTACTAATTCCGCGAACTTGATCAAATTTTTTTACTCGACTTATTTCATGGTTCAGGGAACCTCGAACCTCCCCTAAGTTGAATACCCCTCTAAGTTGAATTTTATTCAGATCCCCCCCTGAATCTCCTTAGAAACAATGCATAAAAACCTCCCTAAGTCGAAGGCTTTTCCCCTCAAACCTCTGTAAGTCGAATTTTCCGTGGCCTGTTGGCTATGATTTCTTGACACAAGAAATAAAAAAGCGATTCAATTAAAAATGTATGCGTCTGAAGAGGAAGTGAAAGACTTAATTGGGTAAATGAACCCCTGCCTACAAGTTCGGCATCCTTTCAAATCATTTAAGAAGCAATTTAAGCCCCAGAATACTGTACCACCATTTTCAATTTTGGGCTATTTTTCTATGTTTCCCAGAACAAAAGAGCTGTGTGTTGTAGCTCGAACCTCTATAATTCAAATCCTCCCCAAGTCGAACTTATAATCGCCATAACTATAGTTGAACCTCTCCAAGTCAAATTTCAAGGGACCAGAAAAAAAATTCGACTTGGAGAGGTTCAACTATAGTTATGGCGATTATAAGTGGGAATAAGCCAAGTGTAGAACTGCAAGCTTTTAAAACGGACACTGTGTTTGGGGAGATGAAGTTTCCCTTGGATGGCGCTCAGCTGTCCCAACGCTGAGTTGGACTCGGGGCTCGCTTGGCCCGGCACCATCGGGTCCGTGTAATGCAGTTTTTCCCAGCATTCAGTCAGCACAAGGAAATATCCCTTTCCATGAATTAACCATGAGCGTGAAGTACAAAAGTAGAATAAAAAAGCCACAGCGTCGGAAAGTGGCCGAGTGCTTCGCATGACTTCGGCGGAGCCCTGGAGGGATACTTGTTACCTCCTGATCTTCGAGAACCTTCAGTTTCTCTTCAACGCTGGTGGGATGCGCGTCCGTATATTGAGCCGTGAAACTAGTGTGCCCCGAGTTCTTTCACTTATCTTTCCTACCAAGATCGTCGGTATTACCGGGAAATCGATCAAATATCCAATAATTTAGAAGTCGATTGTATCGACTGATGACAGGGGGCCCTAAACCGCATAATTGTATGCTGAATTGAATACAATTGATCAGAAATTACTCGAGACTGAAACGACAAAATACGTCACTGGCATCGCCTGCATGCCTGGAAATTTTAAAACCGGGATATTATTGTCGAAGCGAGATAAACATTGCGTTTCAGCTTGAATGACGAAGCGTACCTCCTTATTTTTAATGATTCAGAGTTTAAACGTGGTTCATCGAGCATTCGGATAATAAACGGTAATCTATGTCGTGTCCGTTAGGATCTGATGTCCAGCGGAGTTATTGGGCTATTTTTTCATTAAATTATTCAACGAATCAACTGTGGAATCAATAACGTGCCGATACCCCTGATGAGGATGGATTCGAAGAGGAAATTATGATTCTTCTGCAGTACATATATCGTGCAGTACATGTAGTACAAGGCCTTATTTTCGATCAGGAATAAAAATTGATTCATTTGCATTTTTCCCCAATGATTTTCCGTAAGGGCTTTTGTCCAGAGGGTATGTTCCCGGGCAAATTTTCATTTTTTATTTCATTTTTAGATGGGTACTTCAACTTTTAAAATTTCTCCAGATGGTGTAAAACCGTAACGAGTGAAGATTCTAGATTCCAATTTTTAGGGACTTGTTTTATTTTATTTTTGAACTGATGACATGTCTATAATTTTCTCTTAACTGTTCAAATTACTGTATTGTTTCCATTTAGTTCGGAAAAAATGGGAGATAATAAAAAATGCCTCGTCACTCTGATGACTGAGGATTATGCGCCTTACACGGATGTTTGAAAAATATTCTGAATGATTACAAATCGTGTTGCCAATTGTGAATCAAATCTAATACTGTAGACCAATTAAAAAGGCGTTCAAATCTCGGCAATCTTTGTTTTAAAATCCGGAAGATTAAGGTTACCATAAAATTTCAATTAGTGAGCGGAAGGTTTTCCACATCAAGGCAGTAATTGACGTAAATTCCCACCAATATAATGAATGGTGGCTTACTCCAAGCTTTTTGTCGCTCGTTCGCAGTGGTTTTGACTTCGTAGTATTCTGAACCAGAAACTTGGGAGCAAAATAAATTAGTTTCAGGGTACAGTACCAACACAAATTGTGGACCAACCCTTGCATGGTAGTACCATGCGACACGCTATTTAATCTTCAATTCTCCGCGAACTACAGTGATTGGCTACGAGATAAGCTCTTTAGTTCTCACGCTTAGACAGCATTGCGTCTAATAACTCTGATGATTCGATTGGAATCGGCTCGCATATCAGGATATGAAACCCGAGAGCCATTTGTTTGTTGAAGGGCGCATCTCGACGAAACCCGGCGAACCAGAGAGCGTTCTGGGAGAGACGGAGAACCAACCACCTCTCAGGACTGCGATCTCTTCCCGTTCTATAATGACGGAGTGCGAGCAATTAATTAACCTGGCATGCGGCGCACTCGTCCTGAAACACCCGCAACTGTGTTCCGAAAGCACCCAGCGTTTGTTTTTCCCTTGGGATGGGAATCTGCGACGCCAGCAGGCTTGTGTTGGAAGTTCCCTGGAGCGAACGCGGCCCTCCGAAACGTGTAATTTCGCCGGATCAGATAAAACTGGCCCGGAGCGGCAGGAATACTGGAGCTTTATTCGAATTGCGATAAGAGTGCAAAACGTGTAATTTTGTTGGTTCAGATAGAGCTGACCGGAGCGCCCGCGAAAAATCTCAAGCTTTATTTTTGTCGCTCCGAGACGCATGGGGAGAATTCTTCGTGTCCACTGCGCGTTTTTCCGGGCGATTCGGCCATTTTTCAAAGGTGTCTAGGTTCAGGCAGTAAGACGTTATTTTACTGCGCTGCTTTTCGGGAGGTTTTCTGAGCTTGAGAAGGATTTATTGGCAGGGATTTTTTCTGTGTGCGGGGCTTCTATTTATAAGGGGGCGAATGGAACTTCCTGTGAATGTTGGGCAGGATGAAAGCTGGGCTTTGAGTTCGTTGTTCCTTTCATCCTAACTTTTGACTTTATTGCCTGCCACCAGCAGAACAGCCACCGGCGTGTTTGTCAGTCGAACTTGGGTGGTGAACCAGAAAAGCTGGTGAAGTATGCGTTGCAGCCGAAGCTCGCGCGAACGTTTTGAAAATTGTCCTGTTCACGGGCAATTTTTTTTAATTCAGTTTGACCCTCGGTTTCGTGTGAGTTACTCTAGTGAAATCCGCAGTTTTTTCAAGCGTGAGAGATTGAGGAAACGCGACGGTTTCCCTCGCGATTCCATGTGTTAGCTATATTAACACGTTTCGGATTCCTCAATGATGAAAACTCAGATCCTCAGCAGCCGTAACACAAAAATCCTCTTCAGAAATTGTCGTCCCAAGATAATTTGAAGTTTAATTTTTTTTATTTGTAATTAAAATGCGGAATGAAGTGAAGTATCGCCATGTGAAGAGACTAGAGACAATTTTAGATTGAAATTTTTGTTTTAAACAAAATTTCCGAGAAATCATTAGAAACGTCGATTTATTAAAATCGGAATGCTATGCACATGATTAAATCATTGATTTTCTAGCAGAACGAGACGAAGTCGATTGCTTGAAATGATCAGGTACTTTAAAGAATAATGTCTTGCCTACTGTTGCAACATTGCATCTTCCACATATTTTCAGTAATGTAAGAATTGATTGGCTTGCATTGTCTGAGCTGGAAAGGATGTTTCCTTTCGCAAATACCAAAAATGCATCTGAAGCTCTGCTCATGACTGGAATCTCCATCGATTGCATATCAGCGTAATTTTGTCATTAGGGATTTCACTAGTGAAGATGAGTTTGTTATTAGTGGTATTGAAACTAGAATTTCAAGCCTCGCTTGATTTTTGAAGATCTTGAATATTTGGGATTCAAATTTCAAGCTGCGTTTGTCCTTGTCCGACACATTCTTTCATTGAGTAATTAAAATCGACGATGTACTAAATTTTTTTCATTTCCTAGAACATAATTTTTGCATAATGTACTCTCCTAATTTCGGCTTGGACTTCCTGAAAAATTCTTACGCAAATCTATTTGAAATTGTGAACGGAGAACAAGATTCACGTGCAACAGGGACTTCGTGCAGCATTTTATTCTCAGTAATTTTTATTTAGCAACTTGCAAGATCAGGGTTGAAATCTGACAGCTGCTTTCACTTGGAAGTTTGTTTTTATACACCAATCATTGGAAAACTTCCTCTTGCGTATCGTGGGAAGCAAAATTGAAAATAACTCGCCCACGAGACCCTGTGGATAAAACATCTGAGAACTTGGACTGTTCGGACGTGTTTAATCTTGTTTCAATCACCAGCAGCATTGATGTTGGTTTGATTGGCATAAGAAGATTTTTTGTTTCAAGATGCTTTTTTTTTAATTATCAGAATCAGGGAACTGGACGTTTCGAGCATGATGCATGAAGCGTTGTTGTGTGAGATCCTTTCAGAAAGATTCTTCTGAAGCATGATCAACTCAAAGTGGGAATTCACGACTGCTTCACTGATCTTCTGTGTGGTTGTATTTGGCCAGACCTCGCTATCGTCGGCGACTTCCGAACCACCATGGTGGTGAGTACATGTTGCATACGTTCTTACTGCACTTGGAGCTCAAGTTTTATGCCTGACTGCTGTACTAGTACTGTATTTGAATGAAATCGTTCGCTCAGTACCCTGAACGAGTCGACTGGAGCGTGTCAACTTTTCACGGTTCGTTTCCGAATTTTTGCCTTGAAGGTTACACAATTCCCCTCGTGTCTTCCGTCACATTGCTCAAGACCAGCAGAAAGCTCAAGGACAAAATTGCAAAAATCGCACATTGCTGAACGACAGAGACAAGGCTTTATGTGCGATGAGTCAAGACATCCAGAAGGTAAACCCGTCCCTTGAGTAACATTCGAAAAGAGAAAGTCACTACGGCCCATGACGACCCCTAGTAAATGACCGTAAACGGTCATTTAATAGGGGTCGTCATTAATTATAATGTCACCCCAGAACAAAATATTTTACTTAAACAAGAACTCGTTTTTTTTTAACCAAATACAGTACTGTAGTTTATTAACCAGATCATGTTTTCCCTTGAGTACATAAATAACTTCGATTGGTTCCAAAACATTGAAGGAGCCTATGAAAATCAAGAAAATGTGTCTTTAAAATGTTTACTGTGCCTAAAACTCAAGAAATTCTTTTTATTAAGTATAAGAGAAATTAACTGAAGGACAGCAACCATTTGAAATTTTTTATTCCAAAACATTTGAGAATTGTCCCACTCTTGGGCATCTGGGAAAATTCTGAAGTTCTCAGATATTTAAAAAATCCAAATTATATTGCTGTTTATTTGTGGGAAGGCTGTCAATCACAGGCTGAAAAGGAACCGCATGTACAAGGAATGTTCATTTTGAAGATTAGGCCAGATGTTCATTTTAATATTTTATATGGTGTAATATTGTGGCTAGAATTTGGAAATTAAAAGCTTATTCCTACCTGTATACAAGGTAATACAGGATTTCAGAGTGAAACAATGTTTTGATCAATGCATCAACAAGATAAATGGTGCTGAGCAGAAAATCGCAGGATTTTTAAAAAATAAATTTGGGCCCATTCACATATTGGCTATGTAACTAACCAAAGTTTGTAAACCAAGTCAGAGTTTGTTATCCTAGGCATCTAAGGCCCAAACCAAAGTTTGTAAACCAAGTCAGAGTTCATTCGCCTGTGCGATGCACCGGGAACTTTTCTGTTCTTCAAATTGGAATACCTGTAACTATTAATGCGAGGAAGTTCGTTTATGCTAAGCCGTTTAAGAGGCTAATGATTGCTGTTCCAGCAGGAGTCAGCCTCCTTCAAAACGATTAAAATCATGCACTGTAATTCATTGGGATCTGATTCTGTACAGATATTGTATTGCACGCATATTGGCTATGCTTCTTGTGCGGAAGACACTCCTCACAAATTTTTGTGCGGCCTGTATGCTAAATGCTAGTACAAAATATTCTCACATACTGTATTTTGCGTTTACTCGTGATACTGCATTGCAATATTGTACCTATTCTTAAAATACAAAGAGACCCCAAGATGTGGACATTTTGGCATCTAGAGTGTCCCTGAGTTTAAATGTCCCTAAGTTGAGTCTCATTTTCCCTTAGACTTGAATTATATAATTTTTAATTGGTGTTTTATGTACAAAATACTCAACATAATTCCATGAAAATAAAAATTGTCTCCCAATTTTAAACTGATTCCAATCAATATATTTTAACACAATATGGACATTTGGGGAATTGAATACTGATAGCTCTGTACAGTGCATAGAAATGTTGGCATTCTCTGTAAAAATAACATTGAAGTGAAAAAGAGAGAAGGAAGTCCCTCTATGCAAGAGGTAATTTTTTCAATTAGCTATATGGATGGTAAATTGGTGAGAGAAATGTCCAAGAACTTTTCTTACATCAATTTTAGGGGTTTGAAATATCTGCTTCTTGTAATTTGGCCTGAAATTTATTTGCAATTTTATCACAAAATGTCCCTATGTTGATTCAGTGTCCTCATGTAGGGTCTTTTTTTTATTAATTTTTTTATGAGAAAATAAGTGTCCCTCTGTCAAATTGTTCTCAGTTCAATAATGTGGGGGGTCTCACTGTATACAAAATCACGCCGCGCATCACTGGCTCACGTCCGTCCCAGGATTAGGTCGCGCTTTTGTAGGCTTTAATTTATTGGTGACTCGGAAGGAGCATTTTTTCCCTTTTTTCAAATTTTTACTGAACATTTCGTCTCTTGGACTATTCACATTTTCCTTTAAAATGTTCCCGCAATTTTTTATGGAGTTCTAACTTGGAAATAGGATTTGACCTGTGAGCTCATACATGCCGTAATCAGAAGTCCGAAGAAAGACTGGGGGGAACGGGGGCCTTTTTGTTGTTGTTGACCAGATGAGAACAGCTCGACGCAGCCGTTGAAATCTCCCCGTTTTCTCCTCTTAGATTGTCGCCGCCGGCGCTCAAGTTGCGTTTGGTGAGTGTCAACATCAATTCAAAATGCGCCGCTGGAATTGCACCATCCCCGAACTGGACGTACAGGAGCTGCTGAATTCCAGCATTTTGGCAATAAGTTCGTTTTCCCCTTTTTTTTCGTGGGCTTTCTCGCCCGGAATTGGGTCCGGGTACGCTTTATTTTGCGCTTTCTCTCGCAGACAGCAGGGAAAAGGCGTACTTGTACTCGATTTGTTCCGCCGGGGCGGCCTACGCGATTTCGAGGGCCTGTGCCAAAGGAGTCTTGCCGCTTTGCTCTTGCGACGAACGGATTCGAAGAACGTCGACGAACGGCTTGTTTGAATGGGGCGGATGTTCCGAAGTAAGTACAGTATGTCTCTACTCAAAAGTACGGCACTTCTTTCATTGCCACTCGTTGATACGAGCGTCACGCCTGTGACCCGGTCTGTTCGACTTACACTTTCATTTCGACGAGTGGGCAGACCCAGAATAACTTGTAAAGCAGGAGTGATCCAAAAAAAAAAACACGTAAATAGTACTGAATGTACGTGTTTCTCTTATACAGTTTACACAGCAGAAAATACCTCTACAGTACTGCATACAGTATCTTCTTTGTCATTCTTTGAACCTGGACTACCCAAGCTTTTTTTTCGATGTCTGCTCAACAGCACTTTTTCGCGAGCGATTAAATTATTTTTCCAAGTTCACTCGGTTTCAAAAAGACATGGTCCAGATCGCTATTTTAAAGATTAATAAAAATTAAATGCCGATTGTAAAAGAAGAACGCACACTTAGTCTTCTGTGTCGAATTTTCCAATGGGCGTTTTGTCGTCAACATCAAAACTTCGAAAAAGCGAAGTGAATTCCTGTACATCCAGGTTCCGAGCAACTTTTAAACCGAAGGAACGGTGCAGAGAAAAAGTACGGTATTTCATTAGTTCGAGAAGAGCCGATAAAAGATTTAATGCAGTAAATCATCGAAATGACTTCAGCGTAATTACACATCCAGCGCGCGTGGAACCGGGTCAGGATAGCTGCATTCTTCCACCAACGAAATCGTTCTCTTTCCTCTCCTCAAAAAAGAAATTTTAGGAAAATTTTGAAAATTCTTCGACAACCATGAAATATTCGAAGATACGCTGAACTAGGACAATGCTTGCAAGAACCTTAACAATATCTGCGAGAAAGCACATACGGAAACATTTCCCTGGAGTTAATTTATATACAATATATTCGTTAACGGTTCAATTTTGATTGGCATTTTCGTGTCGATAGCTTGAACTATTTAGGCGATGTTGATACATTGGTATACATTTTTATATTTCATGCTTGACGCGTTTTGAAATCTCAGAAAAAAAAGGGCTTTCGCACTGACTGCTTCGAAGAGATTTTGACATAGATTCCCTAAATAATCTCTGAAAAAGAGCGAACGTATCAAGTACTGTATTACTTTTCTGCGAATTTTGTCGCAAAAACTGTACAGCAATGCTTATATTCCAAAGGATGTGCGTTTTGCAACAAAATTTAGCGCAGAGATCGTCGATTCTCGGGAGACTCGCAGCGTTGCCGAAGGGCTGATGAATCTTCATAATAACGAAGCCGGCAGAAGGGTATGGATGTCCCTGCTTTTAGTCGGATTTGACCCCTTTTGAGCAAGAAATAACCACGTTGAAAAAAACATCCCCAGGTGCTCCAAGGGCAGATGCAGCTGATCTGCAAGTGCCACGGAGTTTCCGGCGCCTGTACCACGAAGGTCTGCTGGAAGAAAATGCGGAACTTCCGAGCCGTCGGCAACGCATTGTTTGACAAATTCGAAGGAGCAACGTTGGTTCGTTACAAGATGCAGAAAAATCGTCTACGTCCCACCGAGAAATACATTAAAAAGCCGACGAAGCGGGATTTGGTATACCTGCAACAGTCGCCGGATTATTGCAATTACAACAAAACGTTCGTACGATGATACGGTACTAAAAAGAATGCAGATACCACTCTATAACATGTGTTACGGTGCAGCAGAGCTTCTCCAAATTTTCTGTTTCACGGAGCCTTCCTTGAAAGTAATTTTTCGTAAAAGAAAGTTGAAGAAAAATGTCACTGACATTTTCTCACTCAATCGAAAGCTGACTGGATAAGAGAGCCATGTGGGAGTCTTCCGCTACCAGAAAGCTTCACTTTTCTTGGGGACGTTAAAAAGAAAGACATGAGGAGGATATACTGTACCGAAATTCTCAAAAAGCTGTCAAGTATTGATCGGAAAAATAGATAAATTTTGCTGGCTGACCGCTTTTGAGCCATTTGAAGGTGTGTACAGTCGGGAAAATCTTTGTTCACGCTTCATAAAAGAGCACTCTGCGGTATTGTTTGAATGCGCACGCCAATCGCCCCGATTCACCTGAAATCATAAAATTGTACATAAAAATCCTTCAATGAGCTTCATTTCGAAGTTCATGTTAACCGCAACAGATACGATCATTCAGAAAATACCTGTTTTGTACTCTGAGTACTCCTACAAAACCAATCTATTTTTCAATTCACCATATGCTGTGCTTATATTTTCATGCTTTCGTTTCATAGCAATTTATTCCTCAATCGCCCAGGGCCCTCGGGAATTTCACACGCAGTAGTTGAATAATGTGCATACTGCAGCATCCGTCCGCCCACGATTGAATTCTAATTCAGACGGGCTATCGAATATGTGGCTTCACTACAATGCCACCATCAATTTTCCCAGAGAAAAATGTGAATGATTCTCTATTATTCTAGAGTACTGTACATAAATCAATGAGAACTACTGTATACTCCCTAGGGGCTACGGTAGATGATCACGGTAGCACCAGCCATCAATCTCATTAAATCTTTTTCGGGGTCATCGAAAAACTGAAGATATTTTTTCCGCAGCTTGGGAATCTCAGGCACGTCTGGAAGGGAATGCAATAAAACCAGCCTTGGAACGGACGGATGCGAAATCCTCTGCTGTGGACGAGGGTACAAAACGCTGGTTAGAGAGATTCAGGAAAAATGTGACTGCAATTTTTCCTGGGATGTTACCCGAGTTGTTTGCAAGTGGTGCATCCGAATGCTTGAGGAGTATCACTGCAACTGAAAATCCAGAAAACGTCTGTGAATAGTTTTTTGTACTTCGACGCGACTCATGAAAAGACGGTACGGTTTTCGCCGTCTGGCAATTTGATTTTTGTAATTAATCTTCTCAATAAAACGAATATATTTCTGACCGTCAATATTTTTTTTTTTTTAAATATATTGATGAGGAGCAGGGCAGATAAGGAAGCTTGTTCAGTCTGCGAGAAAAATCTGATATTAGTCTATTCGTGAGCTGCATTTAAAATGAAATACCTGGAAATTTTCTCAATGAAAGTTGGCAAATCGTATCATATATTTCTGATTTTAATGAGAAAAAAAAACACACTTGGCACATTCCGCATGAGCATCCGGTTTTGCCTGAAACAATATCTCATGAGGATGTAGCCGTGTTTGAACTGCACTTGAAAACCGGCACTGCCAACTCCAATCGAAAGATACGAGAATTTCATGAAAAAAAAAGGAAATTTCACCCTTCTTGAATTGCAATCCACATCAAGCGAAATATCAAATTCAACGAGATTCTCAAACTACGTGGCGTTCTTTCCACACTTAGCATTTTTCTCCGCATCGATCAATTCAACAAAACCCCCTACATTGCTCAAGAATTCAACAATTGCGGCGAATCAATTTCTTCAGCCAACCGTTTCTATAAGATCAGATCATTCTAGAGGGAACAAATTTCTATGCTCGCACGCCCACTTTTCACGCTCATTCGGTACTCAATCATTCAGCATCACAAGTCCAGGGAGCGTCATCCCTTAGCAAACAGTCACACCCGACTAGAGTGCGTCGTGTCTTCCAGTGAGACCTTTCGAAATCCTTCAGTTTCATTTTAATCGTAGCGTGATCAAGTTTTCTCTTCAACTTTACGAATGGAATCCTCGGCTACGTTGTCCTGGCAAGGAATGCCCTGCAGCAGCAATCCATATCGCGCTGAGTATTTTCATCATGCTCGGCGGTCGTCAACAATAAGCTGATTGCTTCAACACAAGTCCGCGGGAAATTCATCCGAACACCGACTGTCAATAAAAAAACCATCGGTTGCGTCCACACAAAAGACATGGGCAACTGCCCCCATAATCTTTGATCATGCACGTTTAAAAAAAATATTCCGATTTCTGCTACGCAGGAAGGGTGAAGCTGCTCAGTTATGGAGACGACACGAGATCCCGTTGTCTCATTGCTCAGAAACACCGAAACGAAAAAAATGTTGAACTGGAGAACACACAGCAAGCACTCCTCCGCTGGATTTTGCCCGAACATGTCCCGAGTCCCGACAGACATTTCCAAAACTCGTTTTTCCGATCCACGATCATCAGTAGATGACTTCATACACTGTAGCCTTCTTGTCCCCACTACCAGTGACGATGTATTTGTCGTCAGTCGAAATGTCGCAGCTGAGTACTGAAGAGGACTCTTTGCTCTGCAAGGACAAGAAGATGAGTCAGACACTGTACAACGGCATATACTCCATCTCGACCACTCCAAGTGTTATCAATCACGAGCAACGAGCCGAAATACTGAACTTCGTTCAACTAATGCAAAGCATTACTAGTCCGACGGCATCCACGAGATTCAGGCTGGCTAATATAGTGTTTCTAACAAATATCAACTCGTGCAAACAAATGAAAATTCTCAAAGATTTTTTTAAACCGGCGATTGTTATTCATTTTCTGCATTTTTTCCAGGACAAAGCTATCATGGAAATCGGGGAAAAGCTTCTGAATAGTTCTCCCCACATGGCCTCGGGACTCAATGGATTCCGGCATATTCCGCAGGAACAAGTTTACACAAGAAGGGGGGAAAATTAAGTCTCGGTAACAAATTTACTTTCGTAAAGTTGTGTGGAGAGGAGAACTCTTCGTACGCTAGACCGAGTAGAATTTAATATTACCTGGAAAATGGAAGCGCCGTAGGGAGTTCTCCACGCATTGACGAGGTTGTCCTTGCCGGTAGATATGAACCACTTGCCACACTGGGCAAATTTCAAGGAGAGCACACACGAGTCGTGCAGATGAAGCTGGTACTTGTCGGGTTTGGAAGTGTGCAGAACTTCAACGTGCGAGCTCTCCATGCCGACAGCTAGCCAGTCCCCGCCTCCTGCGTTTCCAGAGCTTGGACAATAACCGAGCGAGAAAATTTGGGACTGGAAGTCGTGCTGCGCCAACTGACGACCTTCTCTCAGGTCCCATGACCGAACCGTGTTGTCCAGGCCGCCAGTCCAAAGCCGCGTTCCGTCGCTGGAGATATCGATACACGACGCGCCATCGGTGTGTCCCTGTCATATGCAAACGTTATTCATGTAGATTTGTCACGATCATTTGCACACTCGACGAAATATCCAAGTGGAAATTCTTGCACATTCCGAGAGAAGTCGACCAATGTAAGACTCGAAATGAGTGTAAATCATCTCCCTAGTCCAAGATGAGATAAATCACACGGAAAAGCGAAATATGCTCGAATGTAATCCTACGTATACACATACGCTATTTTCAAGAACTGTTATGGCATGACTGTGCGGGACTGATCGACAAGAAGGTACCTGCACAATACGAGTATATATGAGCTTGCGGCGAAGTACCAACATTGCAAGGCAAACGGCTCATCAGTCAGATTTTACAACATGAATGAAAATTTACAACTGCTCACGCTGAGCGTCACTCCACGTGAAATCTAAACCTCATTGACTTGAACATGGTTTGGCCAAAACGCACCGTTCGTTAACTAATTCACGGAACAAGAATCTCGGTTTTTCCCTCCTTATCACATTTGAAAAGAGCAAGCGCAGGGAAGACAGCGATCGACCGGAATGACAGAAGAGCCTCGAGAAACCACACCTGGAATTGGCGCACCAGGGACTGATTGTGCAAGTCCCACACGGCAATGTGACCATCTGAGCAGCACGAGAAGCAGACCTTGGCATCCGGGGAAATGGCCAGGGCGTAGCACGCGGGGGCGGTAGAGTCCAACTGCCCCTTGATCCTCGGTGTAGGTGCAGCCAAGTCCCATATGCTAAGGGTGCTCGCTTCCCCTCCGACGATCAAAGTTCGACCGTCCGGCAGAAGTTTCACGGACCGAATGTAATTATCCCGTTGCTGTTCGGGAAAAGAAATGAAAACATATACTGTACATTAGTACACTGTACAACGTATTTAGAACCTGTCGTCAGAAAACAATTCCCGCGGCAAAGTGAGCAAACAAATCAAGGAGAACCTCCTGACTCGCGCGAAGGTACAGTAACAGAGCAGTCAGTATAGAATTACCAAACAATCCAGTTGGGAAATCGGAGACTTGGTTCCTGGCTGAGAGATATCCCAGACTTTGACGCATCCCTTTCCGCCGGTGTACACATATTTCGTGGGATTGGATATCGTGACGGCGCAGACAACTTCTCCATGCGTCAACGTGTTGATCTGACGAGCATGTCGCGGGATGCCGGGCCCAACAAGGGCCTCATGCGGGAATGGCACCGGTTGCAGCCCTTCGGGTGTGACCATGAACGAATACGCCCTGTCAAACAAAGAGACGGCCACTTGACAATTTTCCCCTCGTCACAGTCACCAAAATGAACCATTCCACGGCACGAAAAAAAAAGTGACTCAGCTTATTTCGCTTATTGATAAAGAATTGCGGTACCAGAAGGGAAACAAATTTTTCAAGAACTTAGTTCGCTATTGCAGTTGTGCAGTGAATTTTCATTCAGCTTGAAACCTTAAATTCCTAGGTTGAAGAGCTCGGCAGCCAGAATATGGAACAGCATTTGCGGAGACGTTCCCTCGATTAATAACTCTTGACAAGCCACCGGTTCCGCATCATTGTCGAGTTCATTACCGGCACAGCGTGAAAGCTATTCAAGACGGGCTAGTACAATGATGGACCAGGATTATCTCTATCGCCTTCATTAAAAAGCCAGACGTACTCGTCCACAAAACTACGAACTCGCCTTTCGCGAATGACTGAATACTTCATAAATGATGAACATGCGAACAAAGCATCTCACCGGAATTCCTGCTAATCTAACCACAATCTAAAATTCTATGGTCAATTAACGTCAACCTGACAGATACCCATTCAAATATTAAATCTGTTATGAGCATCAAGATACAGTAGAAGAATTTTATATAAATTTACATAACAATTGCGCCATCGCTCACGAGAAGCAATAAGTCTCTGGATAACATTCACAGATGCATTCGTCACTGAACCAATTTAGGCACTTCTTAAAATGTATGCACGAAAAAAAACAAAACAAAACCCATCATCGTCCATGGATTGACGTCACGCTGGTAGGTAATGAAGTAGGATCAAAGCATAATAATACTCCATCTCCCTTTTCAACCGGCGAAATGGATAAAATATTCCACTGCATGTTTACGCATTTGGAGAGGAAGAAAAAGAAATGAATCGAGGAAACAGCTGAAGTTATTCCGTAGATGCGTCACTTCCCAACAGAACGACGAGTTACGAAGTCCAGCGGGATTTTATAGAGCGACTCGCGCTAATTGAAATGCAGACAAGGATTGACGAAGAAGTGTCGGAAGTAAACTTACGGTTTCCCGCCGGGGATACCGATACCGCCAGCGGGCGGCATGCCGGAAACCCGCATTGAGCCATGTGGGTCGTATCCACTGACCTGGAAAGGATATTACACATGAGTCGTCGATCAACCGAAGAACACCATCACTTCCTCCAATTTCAAAAAACAAAAGATTGAAGCATAGAATTGCTCATCGGTGTACGAGGGATGGTCCATACCATTCGCAAATAATCGGAATACGGTAATCGAGGAGTTTTTCAGTTCTAAGACGCTTTCAGCCTTTTCGCCTCTTCGTCTCGAGACACGTCAGTGCTGTTACAAACAATTAAATTAAATTCAAATAACTTCCTTAAGAATTTAAATCAAATGCATTGGTGCACCTGCTTTTGAATGCCCATTATATTGGGAGCATGGCCAAGCTCTTTTATTTTTAATATGTGTTCCGACTTGACCGGGCCAGTTTATTTTTACTTCTTTGGAGGCAAGAACGTGCAGTATACTGAATCGGAAGTTACTCGATTAAAAGATAATCGATTTTAGGATAAATCTACATTTTCTCCACACATAAAACAAAATCCAACGTACTTATGCTCTTTCATATCTTTGAATTTCTTCAGAATCGGAGGAGTCCGCCTGCCCTACTCATTTCCTTTATTTCTTCCAATAGACATTAGGGCTCGAACAATTGCGCCGTTGAAATGAGAATGGTAGCAAGGATTCATTATACTGTACTGTAATTGTATCGTGGGTAACTTTCACTGATTTTAAATGTTCTTAGTCATAAGAAATGCTGAATTCGCCGACAAACGTAAGGGGTCCTCGATTACCAGGCGCACTTGGGATTCATTCAAATCTACAGTACTGTATTTTAGCATTCAAATACAATACAAATATATCTGACAAGCATCAACAAGGGCCCAAAATCTCAAAATGTATGGACCATTCCGCATACAGTACGAGTATGTTCAACTCTGCCGTCCTGCTCGACTTTCCCACACTCCTACGCAAACCGGAGAACAAGATCCGGAAACAATTCTGCACAAGGCAAGCATCGTTCGTGTTAGTCATACGCATAGCAAGCTTAGTCATGCAGCGTAGATCGAGCACAACAACCGCAAACGTCGTCGTACTACGCATTTCTCACGGAAATTAATCAAGCCCTTTGAATCAATCTCGACATTCCCAAATTAACGTCTTCTCCCACACTGAAGTACTCATGCTGCAGCGTTTACTCCGCTCCTCGAGTTTACCCTCAATGTGTACGAAGCCGCCTCGCGGCAATTGAAGAAGAATAACAGCGGGTACGACGCAGCACGGTACTTCCAGCGTTAGTTCAAGTCCCCCCCCCCCCCTCCCAAAGATTCCAGGTGGGGTATACGGAATGAATGAATTGCAGCGCTACACAGGAAAATATTTGGCGCAAATTGTGGCGCCTGGTCACCCGAGGCAATATTTGCCGGCGAGCAGTTAATCAGACGAGAGAAAACAGGAAACGAAGAAAAATGTCGTTCAAATACTCACCGGAGGCCTCGGGAACGATGATAGGTTATTGTGCAATGGACTGTAAGCACTATTTGGCGGAACATCGTTGGTCAGCGACGGTGGTCCAGATGGCAAATACGGGTACTGGCCTGGGAAATAAGGATTCCAGAAGAAGTTAGCATAGATGACCCAGCACAATTCCGGAGTCAAACGAAGCACGTCCACCTCCCGACTCCAAGGAATAACATTCCCCCACACAGCGAAAATACCGTAGAAAGGCATTTTACGACGATAAGAAAAACTAAGGGAAGCGACTTCAGCAGGTACATAGCGATCGGACTGCGTTCGGTTTATCGGTACAAGCTAGGGTGCGTCACAGCGAGAATGTGATTTGCTGCGAATACCTTTGAGTACTGTCTCGGGAACGAAGAAATTTCTGGAGTTCGTGGTACGCCAAAAAAAAGGAAATAAAAAAGCACGGGACAGTACGTCGGAAACCTTTGAAACATCGACCGGGACCAGAAGCATTCGACGAATGCACTTAACCTCGACGAGACTCATGAGCAGAAATCCAGATTGCAATGGAATAACTCGTGGATAATCTTCCACGGCATCATCGACGACCGCGGCTTTAGTAAACACCACAAAGTACCCAGTATACGACGTCGACCCCTCGGGTTCCATTGACGGGATTTTTGCACCAGGTCTCAATGAATGGGAATAGATTATCCCGACGTCGAAGCCCGATGAGAAGATATGAATAAACAGCCCGGCGGTAACAAGCTGCAACCGCAGACCCTTCAAACAAGCGCCCCGATCATCAATCTTGCCATAAAATTCCCCTCGGACAATGGCATGACTGTACACGCGTCAGAATCTGGTTACACGCCATGTGACTCGAATACATTTCAAAGCGAGTCGTAAAACGGGGCCTGAACGACGAAAGGACTCCGCTATCTCGGTCAGAGCGCGGCGACATTGTCAGCCTACATGTACCTTGGAACGTGAATCCCTGGGCAAACGAGCTCTACCAGCCACCATTACACGGATTACAACATGCTAACGCACTCCGGAACACGACTACTACATCATTTCTCGTCTAAAAATCCGAATGATCGAAAAAAAAAAAAACCGCGACAAAATCGTAAGAGTGCAAGGTACTACTGTGAGTACTCTTCTTTTCATCAGCGAGAGTCGCGTCCGTGACATTCATCGCTTCCAAAAATCAAGGAAAAGGTAATGTTCTATCCAGCCTTTCGTCTGCGAAACACCCATGGGACTTGGTCGCTACCTCGCGAGAGAACGACGTCCGTTGTCGCTAGTTCAGTTACTCAAGCCAGCATTCTCTCGTTATCCGCTGTCGTAACGTTTGCATGTCGGTCAGCAGGAAAACACGGCTTCGGATTAACCAAGAGATTGCATGTGAAAAGGAGCGCCCCAAAACAACCAACACAATCTTTTTAAGAATCAACACGCACACAAAATGATATTCCTGAAGATTTGCTTTCGTATTTACCCTGATGCAGGAAGCTCGCAAGTGGGATGACCCTCCCATTTACAAGTCGGATGGGAGTCTCCCTTTCTGATACGCGCGTTGTGCGATAAGTTCAAAAGCAAACATTTAGCTTAAGAGGCGCAGAGCAAACGAAAGCCCGTAAAAGAACAATTTTTCAGGACAGTGCTCAACTCAGATTGTTTTCCCTAGAAACATGTCAATATCGGAATCAAGTCCGTCTTGCACGGGAATGAAGCCTTTACACCGGATGGTGGGATTTCTGCGATTTCCGGATAACCGTAAAAATGTGATGGAATAGAAGTGGATAACCAGCCCTGAATACTACTCTACTCCGACGTGAACAGCACCAATCAACTTGGACAAACCGACAGAGCGGAAGTTGGCTAACTTGGGAGCAACAGAGGCTCAACGCTCCTACGCCTCACACATTTTCCATAAATGGGAATGTCGTATGTTCGCCCGGATAACGAGGGATGATTCGAAATGCTCAGACACATCGTCAAATGAGAGGGGCGAACCTCGAACAAAGCTTTCGTTTTTACGAACACAACGCGAACTATTCCCAGCGAGCATGCTAGGGGTGGTGCAAAATCGATGTCAGCAACTCGAAATTAAATTCTGTAGGTACCGCAGTTCCAGCCGAAGTTATAAAATGCAGTAATTTGATTAATGCACTTCGCGGCTATTCAATTCTTGGTCAGTTTTCTTCGATTGCATCTATGATGTGAGCAACTCTTATCCCACCAATAGGCGCTTCAAGACAATCCGTACATTCAGTATCTACAGCACGAAAGCAATACTGCGAAGAACCAAGCACTCTTTTCATTGAAACACAATTTTACTGGTCCAGGACATCATTCACAAAGCTTTTTCAATAACAGTACGGTATTCGAAATACTGTATCGTATTTGTAACTGCTACATCGGCTTTGGATTTAAGGAATTTGTCAAGTAAAGCAGGTAAGCCTCATTTCCTGAAGGTGAGGAATGCACTTTCAACCTGCTTGAATCAATTTCAACTCGGGAGCATAAAATACATTGAAATGGTAGGAAACGATCAGCTGTTACACAGTAAAAAATAAAATACGTCGGACGATAATTCGTCCATTGAACAAGATTCCAACCACGAAAGCACTTAAGAAACTTATGCACCAGCCCTTACATGAACGTACGCCATAAAAAAATGTATGCTTCGAGAACTCGTTTTGTTAGAGAATCTGAATGACTGATTCTTGCCGGAACGTAGTTCACCATCGGGAATCTCTGCAGTCAGTGATGGCTATCTCGCGTCGACAAAATCTGGGCATACGGAAACCAATAAACAATTTCCAAAAACAAAAAGGAAGCCCAAAAGGACAGCTTCGTACATTTTACCGCTTGCTGCCCACGTGGAACTACTACAAACAAGCTTCGAACCGATACAAACCCACGCGGGGTTCCGCCATTCAAGATAAAAATCACAGCTGTCGTGTTCCGAAGTGGTCGACAATCCCAGTACAGTACCGCGCACTAAGAGACACGAATGTCCAAAAACACGATTACTCAAGCGTACGTAAAAAAAAAAATCCTTAGAAGCCGACTCACGCGAACGGAAAAAAGTTTTACATTCAAGGAGAAAGCTGTTTTCGCAACTAGATCCTTCATGGACGCTGTTTCCAAAAAAGTACACCAGGTCTGGCCTGACTACAAAAGACGACGAGCCACGCAGTGCCCAGCGCAGGCAAATGAATATCAAACGAAAAGCTCAACATAAATCTCTCGTCGTCGCCGAAATCGTGAAAAATCGGGTAATCATGAGAAAATATTCGAACATCTCAAATACTACGGGACCCGATTTGACCAGCAGTACGCGAGGAAATGGAAAAAAAAATCCAACATGAATTCTTCGATTGCAAAAGGAGAGAGCCCGGGAGTTTCTCGCTACAACGAGGGACAGTTAATTAGAGAGCGACAGAACTGGAAAACAAATTCTAAAACATGAGTAAAAAAACAAACAAAAGCGAGAAGTAATTAAGAACTGCGGGTATCGGCGAAAATTTAAAGGATGCTTGTCGACAAGATAAAGGCCTTTCAAACATCGCACCGACGATAACACAGTCATCCGCCTAGAATCACGCGACTACACCGAAGAACCGAGACAGAAAATTACGGCTCTCGCTCCACCGAATGAGACTCCAACAGCTTCTAATGACAGTGAATGTGCTCCTTTCCTCGCTACCAGCTACCACCATCGGACAGCGTCGTGACCACAAGCGCACACGGCTCTCCTCATTACGGCACAGAGAGCGAGAGATCAAGTACTCGACACCGGCGACCCTCGACGCAATTTCCCAAAAGACGCCCACGGTCTTAGTCCGAGCCTCACCATGGCGAGTCCCTGTGTAACGATACTGTATAACCTATCCCACTCCACTACATAACCAGGCAGCCTAAAATACATCGATTCAGATCTTCATTCAGATGCCTGAGCCCCGCACAGATTCCTTGCCGTGTTCTCTTCAACCCCGTCCCTGGGTCCCCTTTTGGGCGAGGGACTTATCCTCCGAGAGCGGGTTCGAAGGAAATTAATACAAAAATCTTCTCGCCAGATAAATCTTGGAAAACTTGCGCGAGCTACGCAATTAATGCGGCACATACGGTACAATCTACCTTCCGACAAACCCATGGCCAGGCATCAGCGCTACCCCCAAAAACGGTAGGCGCTCGCAGCATCGTGCCGGTAGACTTGAAAGCTATCTTACCGGTGCAACAACTCGAAAACTTACGTGCGCCAGGATAACCGCAGAGTAATCCAGTAATTTTTTTCGCGCAGCTGTATCATTAGTCATTACGGTGATCAATCACGACGAAAATCATTGTATACGGTAGAAAAAAATGATAATAGAGAGAAATTTCATCAATAAAACCAAATCCAGTAAATTAGTCTGAAACATCGGTCGATTCTGAAGAGGATACCAACTTGAATTGAAAACGAACGTCTTTCTCGAAAATTCATTGAACTTGAGTCGGGCACGAATAATCGAAGCCCAATAAACGGAGTTTTGCACTCGCTCTCTTTAACCGCTTTCCGAACTGCCCAATAGTTGTCGCTTCAACGTCACACCTGGCAAACTAGACTAATGTGATTACAGCATTACCAACAATGCCCTATCAACCGACGTCAAAACCATACCATGTAGCACCCTACACAAGCTACATTTGACTTGACGGAACGGGAAAAATTGGGCAACGACTATGAAATTCAAGGTAAAATCACAGCCTCGGGATATGCAAGTTCCAAAAGATGAGAACCCTGAGTCGATGTAAGTATACCGTATGAAGAACGACAACATTCGCTTACTTCCCGGAAATACCAAAATTTGACGCAAATTCAAAGAATGCACCTAAAACTGCTTTTAAAAAAAGGTCTCCGCCTGAGCAACCAGGACAAGTTGCTACAGCGAAATATTCCGGCGGACATTGTGCTCAGGGAATTCCACAACACCGGTGTCGGTCACCGTCGTGAAAGGGAGCGTAAAAGACACGAGCCTCGGTGGCGAAACCATGTACGCCGTCTCGTCGTGTCCGCAAAGTAGAGTGTGACAATTTAGAAGCGAGGTACAGTACGTTCAATAACTTCCTCCTCCGACAGCGCCAAGCCGTTACGCCCAGCTGACATCGAAGACCCACGCGGGACGAATTCCTCGCTCACGTTCCTCGCCCTCTCTCGAAGCCAGCGCGAATTGACACCCCGAGTCCGATTGAGTCCATCTAATTGACCAGTGTATTTATGATCAGTCATAGTCACACAAGTTGGTAGGGCGTTAACGCCGTCGTGGAGGCATGACAAATGGGGAACAAGGAAGCTCGCCTCGCGTTCATTTTCGCAACACGTGACACATTTACAGCTAGGAATGCTGTCACGTAAACACAAGCGGCAACAACACTGGAACAACGCGTATCCCGTTGCAGGGGCTCCAGTCACGCAATACGCATCGGTATGGTGAATCGAGATGATTTCCTTGATGAGGGCGGATGAACACATGCAGGACCAGAGGCAACCGTGGTTTTCCGAAGACAGGGAACAGCTTCGTCAGGGCTACGAAGCGCGCTTGCCCGATTATCCACTCGGCTAGACATCACTCGGAATGACGCGATGCATATTTCAGAGCAGTCCGCGTCTCGCAGACGTCGACAGACAAAGCAGAATCAGCTCAGTGATAGCAATCGGGTTTGGATTGAGGCGAAGTGCAGTACAGTACTCATTATAATCAGCTCCAATGGCACAGCGCATAGAGCCGTCATCGGACGTCATTCACGCCCGGCTGGGCGCGAAGAGATCGAGATCCGTGTTCCAAGCCAACACATCGATTTCATACGGGAATACTGTTCTGTACCACGTATGCGGCTCCGATTGTCGATAATCTGAGCGAACACGCGTCGTGGTCTAGTGGCAAGTTCACACGTGTTCAAAAATGCTCAGAAAGCACTTGACCCTCGCCGACTCGCTGGAAGTTCCGACGACTTCGCTGACTTGAACTCTTGAAGGAATACACTGTACAGTATACTGTACAATGCATTTACGTTCCCGAATTAAGGCGCTCAGCCATCATCTTTGTAGCCTACGATGGACACTTCATTTGTTCGCTTCACATGGGATCATGAGTTTCAAAGTCCAATTTTTTTTACCTTCTCATGATTTTCCGACGGGAATTGAAAAAATCCAGGTCGAGGCGAGGGACATAAATACCGTAGGCTAAAATATGATTAGTACAGGCTACTTCACTTCTCCTGGTCCGAATTGAAATTCGGACACACGAGTGCCGGACGGTCGACATTATCCAATTGAGAAAAAGCCCATCGTCATGCGATACTTGAAGACACACAGTACTGCCCACTGTTGGACTGAACATTTGGAAATAACCTTTCAAGACAAGGTCGAGTCGAGACTTTCCTTTCCCGCAGTCCCGATAAAGGGTGTGACTTAGTTCCGAGACTATTAAGAGGTGTCGGACAAGCCGCGGGTTTCGTCCACGTAGGCCCGTATCGGCACAGCGGAACGAGATCGATGAGTAACGCGCGGGGATTCGAGCGTCTCGAATCTGCCCGGACCTTTCATTACTCATGATTATTCCAAGAGCGGCTTTTATCGTCGACGGGACGTAGCCAAACCATTCGCAACGACCGGTCGGCTCAGGGCGCGTCGCAGCACCTCGGGGAGGTTCCACGGAAATCGAACGCATTTGCAATCCCCTCACAGGTGCGGAATTTTTCGGGCAGCAGTACCCGCGGCGGAAAGCTGTTCTTCCCGCAACCGCGAAATCCAGCCTGGCGCCGATGAAGCCCCGCCAGCCCCGGCTGGGCATCTATTATTCATTCGTCGACCAAAATTCGAATGTTTTTCGCCATGCCCCGCTAATACATTTCCCCTCGAGGTACAGTACTTGTCCCCGGCTTCAACTCCCCCTTTGATTTATCAATCACGCGCTCCGGCCCAACGTGCGCATCTGGTCCCGAACCAGAATCCCAGACCCCAGGAGTTGATGAGGGCTTTATTGGAACAATCACCCGCACGAGCTAGGCAAACTAATTTCATTTCAGAGACGATGATGAGCATAAACAAGCCCACGACATCCGGCAGACCCACCTCAATGAACAAAGGGACGCTACAGCGCCGCTCGTGTCTGTTTTCCATTCGGCTTAAAACTTTCTCTTCGCACCCATACTCTTAACTACTCCAGCCTAAATGAACCCTCTTTGACTTCCAAGCAACGCTGGACGCAAAAATAAGTGCATGTCACTTCAGTACGATAATATTAGTTTTTACCCCGACCCCACAGAAAATTTAGTTTAATTCCCTCAACCTGAACGAAGTTTCTTCCTACGTAACAGCGATCACACGTCTTGTTACGATTCGATAACACGAATTCCCCGGAAAAAAGCCCAGCGCATCAAAGCGAGCACTTTCTATATTTCCGAATATAAAAAAAAACCTTAAAAGAAATGGAGAAGTTTTACAGAGAAGCGTATGCAACGGGAATTATTCAAGCGGGCCCTTTTCTTTGCGGATGCGTGCACTTCGTAAATGTAAAAGGATTAACACACTGAACCTACTCATCATGCTTGAGAAGACTACCATCACAGACTTGTTCAGTTTCGAGACAATACCAAAAAATCTGAACAATGCGGTGCAATTAAATCGTACTCATTACAACCACGACGAGTGAATCGTTCAACTTCCGAATTAAAGTGAGGCACGCAGATTTGTGCAAAGAAAAAATAAGTCCAGGACTAATGAAAACCACGACCGCAATACGGACTTGGAGAAGCAGAAAGCAGGAATTATTCTGGGAATGACATTCACATGACCTGCCCGTGGGACCTGTCATCAGGCGAGCTCGTCACCAGTCAAGTGCAGCAGCAAGTGCACGACCGCGAGCCTTCAAGTACATGTTTGATCGTGCAGATGGCTGACGCATCCGAGACAAGCATGGGAATACACGTTCTTCTCAAGACTTCGCTTTATCTGTTCGACATTTTCTCGATCATCTTCTCCAATCATTTTCTCCTCAGTCGCTACATTTTTGATCACTAGCCCTGGGTTTTTGGGGGCTATTTACAAAGTACTGTATTTCTAAGCTGCCCGAATCTTAATTTTTCGAACGCACGGTACCATTGTAAAGATGCGAGAAGGCTTATTCCTAGAGCGTCCTTTAATGAGTTTCAACGGTGGCGAGAAAACCATGGAGGTCTCGGAAAAACGATGTATGCATCATCGACACGTTCCAAGGGGCTTAAAAATTTATTTTACTCATTACCATGCATTGGTGAGAGGCTTTCCACGAAACTTACGAACTAGCTGCTGAGACAATCCAATAGCTTTTATGATTCTCTGATGAGGGAGCCTTCATACTGTCAGGCAAACTAGTTCTACTTCGGCATACCCTATTGCACAAGGAAACCTCACACCATCGTGCAGCGGAGCGCCAGAGGTTTTTCGCACGCGTAATTGAACAAAACAGAGAGAGAGTGAGATATAGAACATGCTACTCACTTATGCCCGGCGGTTTCGCAGGTTTCCCCGACGACGGGACTCCGGGCGCGGATGTCGTCGTCGGTGTCAGTGGCTTATTCGGCGTCGAGGGTTTAGAGATGTCCGTGGACCCGTCCTTGCCCAAGGGCTTGGACTGCGGCGGAGGAGCAGAGGCCGAACCAGCGGATGACGTCCTGCTCCGCGGGCTCACTGCCCCACCCCCGCTGGCGTTTTCCTTTTTGATAGAGCCGAGTTTGTCCAAGCCGTTCTCTCGGGGTGACACCGGCCCGTTGTGCACAGCTGGACTCACGGAGTCCTGAACGAAAACCAGGCGGGATCACGTAGAATCAGTACCGAAAATAATCAGGCGTCTCTCGGGTTCTCATCTACATTTCAAGATGAACCGTCGAGAAAGGGACAACCCACTCCAAAGTTATGTCCACGAACAAATACAGTAACTCAAATCCGTCAGAAGAGGCAACCAAATTGCACCATTTGCGTTTCTTGGAAATTCCATGTACTCTGCAGTGACCTAAAAATTTTCATTTGCTTTTTCATATTAACGTTCTGATTCAGGATATATTTCGCAGAAAAAAAAAAATTCATTGCAGAGTCGCTGCTTTTTTCCTCATAACTGAATACATACTGTAGTTTTTTCCTTTTCTTTCGTAGTTGATTATCCATGGCAATTATTTTTCGAATTTTGCTGGAATGTTGAAATATCAACCGAAAGTGAAAATTTTGCTCAGCGTCTGCAACAAATGTTGCTTGAAAAAAAGTTATCTTCGACTGTAAAACATGGGATTGAATTCCTGAGGGTAGTAAATTCCGCTTCAGAGTATCGCACTAGCGTAAGTGAATGATTTTTCAGTGCAGGTTGGATTAGTTGCGGCGGTGCGAAATACTACAGTATTTACACCTCGTTTCGGAGAACTGCACACGCTTCGTGACGATTTCATTACGTGATTGATTTCGAGAGACTCAAGAAGCTTTACGCTGAGGTCAAAAACTTTCGCTCGTCATGGAGACGCAAAATCGAAATGAAACCTGTTGTCCTAGTTCTCGAGTGTGTTTACAATAACACCTTGCTCCGTGTGCTGAGGCGTGACACTTCTAAAGAAGCAATTAAAACGACACGTAGGAAGATCCGTAGTACTGTATATCTAACGCTTATTTTTCGTCTGATAACGATAATACACTTTTTCCCCTGCTCGCCGCTCTCCTTAGCCTCTAGATTCGACACATTCGTGATGGAAGACGAAAAAAAGCGTACATGAAGGAACTATACAATGTTCTGCTTCAATCAAAAAGAACTGTAGAAAAAACCGCCAGAAAAAAAGCAAGCGCCGTCTCACACGCAACCATTGACCTCCACGACCAGTAATTTATGAATGACTAACATGGGAAGACGGGGCGAGGAAAGAACAAGCAAAACACATTAACAGGCACGTCAGGCAGAGTGAAAAAAAATCAAATAAGAACAGGACAACGAAGATCTAAGAGACAAACCTCGTTGTTATCATCGACGACAAGATCCAAGTCACTTTTCTCCCCGTCGCTATCCTGTAAGGGAATAAAAGTGCGATGAAGGAAAATGATCTCGTTCAATGAGCGCAGCGACAAGCCCTGTCGCCATCACACTCACCCTGTGATCCACCTCCTGTTTCACCTTCTTTGGAGGCGGTTCCGGCGATCTCGGCGGCCTCGGCTTGTCCCTTGGAGGCGACACCGACACTCTCTGTAGAATACATGAATATAAAACCACGCCTTAAGCAACAACCAAGACTTTGAATTCGTCCCGCACACCGAAAGCAATTTCCGCAACGAAGCCAGCCACCAGTGCCGCGTAAGAGCGAGCTCAAAAGCCGGATGCAAATCGTTTCCCTCCAAGTAACTTGCAAAAACTTCGCGAGCCAAGTTCGTCTTCCCGAGGGTAGATGAACTTCGTCGGGTGCATGCCGGGAGAGGGGATCAAGTAGCGAAAGCACAACGCCGCGGCAAGCTGTGGCGGAGACAATCCCGGAAATCCCGAAACAAGCCTCTCGGCTTCAACAGCGGGAAAGCAAATTTCACAAGCCAAGCTCCTGAAAATTTAATCGCGCTTCGTGCGTCGACTGCACGTTGCACCGCAACTTCCCGACCACTCATTCAAGCCACCATTCATCCCTCATTCAACATTCATAGCGTCTTGCCACCAGCATTTCCCCCTTCATTTACTGTGACGCATCATCTTCTTTCCCCGAGTCCGAAGAGGCGTTCACATTTCCTCCCAGCCAGTCGTTTTGAAATTCGCACATCGTTTTAACCCCTCCCGGGACATCGATTCAGGGCGGCGAACATACGGAATGTCGGCGTCGGATCAGTTCATCAGTCACTCCCCCGGATATCCGAGGAGGGCAATTCCGGCGGATTCGGGTGAGCGAAGCACAGCAAGATTTCCACGCGGCGCATCGAAAGACGGGACAGCGGCTGAAGACGGGTCGGGATCGCGAGGAAAGGCAACGAGAGTGCCACGGGGGAGTAGCGTTGGCGCTGACATGATTTGATGACGCTTCAAGCATCCCCCCTCATGTTCCTCGCGAAGCAGGGCAATCTAGAAACAAAAATTCCCCACTCGTCATTGACAAGCCGTCATGAATAAAACACAGTCTTATATTCCGAGCGCGACGAGCTGCATTTCGCAGCCGCGACGCTCCGAATGAACCCAAGACCCATAGTAGGTGTTTCCGCGAGACGAGGATTAATCTGCATTATGCAGCGTTACACAAATACGAGCCGCATTATACGATGACTGCGTGGTAAACACAGGCGGATCCCATTACCATGAACATTCCCGCGGCCGGGATATCATTCGGGTGGCAGCGTGCCCAGTCTCGCTTCAATTAAGACCCCAGTAGCAGCTTGACGAGACTTCATCCACCGTCAGCAACGACTTCGCAGCCAGACCGCGTCTCCGCCTAACGACTTTAGACGAAGGGGAGAAAAATCAACGAAACAAAAGAAATACACGGGGAACATCTCGCCCGTAAAATCCTCCATCCATGCGCCAAGGTCATGATTAACGAGGCGCTGGGACAGACAATGATTTTTCAGAGATGACAGGTGGATGAATGAATCGTTCCGTACTCTTGATAGGACCTGGTCACGTGATCGCTCGTCTCATCCACCGGAAATCATTTCGAACATTCCTCGCGTTCGAGCAACTTCCCGTGGCCCCATTACAATCGCGCCCTGTAAATCGATTAACCACACGTCCGCGCGTCGCGATATCATCAAGGTGAGCGAAACGCACACGTTGACACGCTCGCAAAGCGTGACCATCACGCCTCCGATGGCTCCTTCACCAACTCGACTCGACAAGGAAAATGTTGCCGAGAAATTTGACACGTGTGAAACCGCAAGGTAAATCATTTCGCACTTTAACACGTTCTTCACATTCCACCCTTGGTCGTGACACACGAAAATCGCCCCGAAAAGGACCGCTACAACCAGGAATTTTCACTGAATGGTACAACTAGGGCATCGCAGCATTTGAGAACTATGAGTGGCTTAATAAGTTGCCAAAATTTATTACGACACGATTTCATCTGAAACAGTGATGCGAATAATCCCCAGCGGTACACATAACAAGGGCTGAAAAGCCCAGTGGATCAACTGGGCTCGTGAACTTAATGGCACAATTCTTATACTTTTTAAAATGGTCGCCAATTTTTCGTAATTATTCATACAGCCTTCATTGATTTAGAAAACGCTGTTTTTTTCGAAAAAAAAAGAAGACAAGGAAAGAATCAGAAAAATACGTAACTCAACAGCGTTAACGGTGATGTGGCTGAAAGATGTTTCAAAACTCGAAGAAATTCTTGTTGGCTCATTTCTATTCCTGCTGAAATGTACAGTATTTAAATAGTGATTAGTATTATATGGACTAACTCTCGCATGAACGACATCGCAGTGGAATCGCTCTCGCACGAGTGATCCAAACGGGGAATTCGCCCGAAGTCTCAAGTTGGTTGGTGGGTGTTCCATTTGACAAGCTCAAGGATTTCCAACAATACACTAAGTTCATTTGCATACACACGTGAATCCCAGCTCTCAGCCCGGATGATCCAAGAAGATAAGAAAACATGCGAAACCTCGGAAGCATAAAATAAGCGTCAACTCACGGGAAAAATATCAAGCCTTATGGCGCACAGAATCCGCATACGGATATAAATTGATCCGGAAGTTTCAGCCATTCATGTCTAATTGAGCACAAACAAGGCGAATCAGCGGCTGCTTCCCGTAGTACTGCATCACGGCGCGCGAATCGAAGAGGGGGCATGGGTGGGGGTTGAAAAGTCAACAGGGCTTCGGCACGAGTCGTCGCGCGTCATGGTCGATGAAACTCGGGAGCAGATAAAAATGAAGTGGGGGGAGACAATCTTCTCGGTCTTTCCTTTTTTCCTCAGCACCCTACCCCCCCCCCCCCCCCCCCCCCCCCCTTTCCCCCCCCCCCCCCCCCCCCCCCCCCCCCCTCTCCGACACTGTCATCTCGTGATCACGACACTCCGACCCTCCTATTGTCGATAGCTTCGTGCCGGGATTTCTGGAACCCCTCCGTTCCGGACGGATCACTCACAACAAAAAATACGGAGCGAAAGGAAATTGCGCAGATCCGGATGCAATAAGGGCACAGGAAGGGTTAATACAATGATGGGAAGGTTCTCCATCCCTCCTTTTAGAAATTTAAATCACATGCAAAATCACGCCTAAACCCCATCCCACCCCCCTCTCCTCTCTATCACAAGTACAGTATATCCATCCGCGAAGTGCTCAAACTCCACGAGATCACGAGTTCGTGGGAAAGAGCATACATTTTCGAACTCCATATTTTCAGCTGAATCAAAGAGGTAAATAATACCCACAAACGAATTCGGAGGACAGGGAGAGCTGCAAAATTCAGATGTATGCCTTTGACTGGGAAATTATCTCAGCCATTCTCGCAAACGTCTACGCTTCTCGAATGAAGTCACAAAATCAATTTCCAACCACCACGCTTCACGCATTACACTAGTGAGAGGAAGGGCATTTCAAATGAAATTAACAAAATTACTTGATCATAGGCCGCAAATACTGTATTGAGAGAGAAAGGGGAATTCATTCCAGAACCTTCGCAGTTTATGCCTCGGTATGGGCTGCGGACAATAAAATAACCTCCTCAGATTATTTCCCATAATCAGGACTAGGAAAACAATCTCGTAAATACCGTATTCCAGATTAAAATAGCAGTACATCCAAATTATTTTGCTGGTGTGTTGTGACTTCTGTTAAAACGACAAAAGTGAGAAAAAAGTTCTCCGCGCTTTATCCGGGATGACAACCGAGTTTACCCAGCTAAATTCCTCGTTTGCAACGGAGGATGTACCGTACCTAGAAGACTTCGTCGAGCATCCGAAAAAAAGGGGAAAGGCAAAACGAACTTTCTGCGAGGTTCAGAAGCAGAGATCCGGTAATACATGCGGGGATCAAAAGCGGGATTCCGAACTGGAAGCCCTTAAGAACACACAGTGTTCCCCGTTCGAATTCCCCAACCTGTGCGTCAGGGAAGGGAAAAAAATCGGAAAGGAAGAAAGTTTCACCGTCTCGCTTCCCGAGAAGCAGACGACAAACGGTCGTGTTTGATCAGGCCATGGACAAGAACACACAATCGTGATTTATACCATCAGCTTTCTTGCCCTATTCCACCGCCGTGTGTGGACCTTTTGTCCGTGTGTGCTCTCTCAAGTCTGGGGAAGAGTATAGAAGAGGAATCAACCGGTCGCATTCGAGGAAAGTCATTCTGCCAGGAGTTGAATTGATCGATCGAGTGGCAAATATTTGATCATTGCCAGGGGGATCGCATATTCCGCGTACAAAACCAGCCAATACCACACTCGGCCTCTCCGTCATCGTTGTCGTCCAGGATGGCACTCCATGCCATTGTTTTCCACTTGAAAACGGGTTCTACAACCTGTCAACTAACAATGTTTCATAGCATCGAGAAGATTCTCGTTTCCATACCCTAAGCAAATCAATCTCACGATTAGGGTCTCCGTAGTTCTTTCAATTTTGCTCAACATCACCGATCAAACGGTAGAACGTTTTTTTTGAACACACACCAGATGACAAGAAAAAATAATCCCGAAGATCAATCGTTCTCTGAAATCGATTAAAACAAACATTTTACACATTAAAAGATTGGTTCGATAGCATAACATGAATACCGGTGATTTTGTGAACTTACGATCGGTTGAGTACTAAAGCAATTTAGAGAATTTTTGAAATAAAAAGGTTCAAATCTACCGCATTATCAAGCAACGCAATACAGTACTTCGAAAATGCTCGAAGTGGACCGTGATAAAAATGACGATGTACAAGGGTTGGAGGGGACTGGGGCCAGAAGGACGTAAAGTTTTTGCGCGACCGGATTTCCACCGGCAGCACCTCAAGGAAACTAGTCCCCGGCCGCGGGCAAGAATTCGACCGGAACGAAAGGATTTGCGGTTAATGGAATACCCCACAAATTGAGCCACCAGCTTTCCCTGCTACGCAGGGAATCCGATTCACAAGGGCCCCCTCCCCTTCTCTTCCCAGCCAACAAGCTCTCGATTTTACTGCCACTCCAACTGGTTTGATGGTCGGCTGCCGTGAAACCGCAAATGATGCACTTGAAGGCTTACGACACCGCGTTCTACGATAATTCAGCGCCGCGTTCTCCCTCGCGTTCCCCCTTCCACCGATTCTCACCTGATGTTCAATTGACCGTTCACGGCGGGGAAATGACGCCGAGAAATTCGAAAATTTCCGCACCACCATCAATTTCGACCAATAATTGCCAGCATCCTTCGCCCAAGCATCAGCAGATTTCTGCGAAGTCGAGCATTTGAATCTCGCGATCACACCGCTGGGAGCAAGAATTACAAGCGCAATGAGGGAGCAGAGGCATTCTATTAGCCTCATCAAACGCGCCGTTTGAACTGGGAAGGAAAAAAGTGCCGCTATATATTTTTCATAACTGGTAGAATGAGATTTTCCGTATGTGTAAAATGCAGATTGACGAGAAGTATAGAGATTTTCGCCCGTGCACCAAGGTTTTCAAGATATCGAAAATGGCAACTGAAGGTCACGATATAAATCCGCAGGCTATCGACGCTTCTGAAGTGTTCCTCGCAAGGTAACTAATTTTCGATATCAACTGCAGGATGTAAATATCGAATCACCGAAATGCTGTGTCGTCATTTAGAGAAATGCCACTAATTGAGCTCCAGCTTTGCCCGTT